TAATGCTTTAAACACACTTCAATCGAATGCAGTAACAATAAAAAAATCATTAATAAATACGAACGCACAATCGAAAAATTTAAGTGAAACAGCCAAATATTTAAATCGTATTGGTATCACCTTGAATAAATTGGATCAATTATCAGTTATTCATGTGTCTGGAACAAAAGGAAAAGGTTCAACATGTTCTCTAACTGAATCAATTTTACGTTCATTTAATATAAGAACAGGATTTTTTAGTTCACCACATTTGGTATCAGTTACTGAACGTATTCGTATTAATGGAGTACCGATTTCAAGAGAAGAATTTACGAAAAATTTTTGGTTCGTTTACAATAATTTAAAATCACAACAGGATTATGAAAATGATATGCCAGCTTATTTTAAATTTTTAACAATTTTAAGTTTTCACATTTTTATTGAATCTGCAGTTGATGTTGCAATACTTGAAGTTGGTATAGGCGGTGAAAATGATTGTACAAATGTTGTACGTAATACAAAAACAGTTGGAATAACTGCACTTGGTCTCGAACATACGAATCTTTTAGGTAATACAATAGAAGAAATCGCTTGGCAAAAAGCTGGTATTATTAAAAAAAATTCAAATTGTTTTACCGTTCCACAGCAGCCATCAGAAGCTTTAGAAATTTTAAAACAAAGAGCTAAAGAAAATAATGCAAAATTGAATATTGTTCCTTATTTTAATGAATACAATTGGTATCGGATTCCAAAATTAAATGTTAATCATGAAGCACAATTTTCAAATATTTCATTAGCTATACAATTGGCATATGATTGGTTACGACAAAATAAATTACAAAACTTAAATGGTTTTTATGAAAAAATCTTTCATAATATTTTACCATTAGATATTCCCAAAAAAGTGGTTAAAGGTCTCGAAAATTCTTTTTGGCCTGGTAGATGGCAATTTCTCAATTTAAATAATTTTAAAATTTATTTAGATGGTGCTCATACAATCGAAAGTATTCAAATTTGTACAGATTGGTTTAAAAAAAGTACCCATGACAGTAAAAATATAAAATTATTAATTTTTAATGCAACTGGTGATCGTGATGCAGAAAAACTTTTATATTCACTAAATTCGGATATATCATTTTATAAAGCTTATTTTACACCAAACATTCCATATGAAAAAGGGATACGTGATACAAAAGATAGTAAATCAATTATCGCAACATCAGAACAAATATTGAAATGTCAAGGACATATGAAAATTTGGAATTCATTAAATGAAAAAAATAAGGGCGATTATTTTTCGAGTATTGAAAATGCATTAAAACAAATTGATAACGAATTTGCAAGAAATGTTAATGTCGATATTTTAATAACTGGCTCAATACATCTAATTGGAGCAACAATATTGGCTTTGGAACAGTTTGAAAAATCTCGAATTAATGTCAAATAAATCATTACGTGACATAATCATAATTTTTTTTGTATCATTTAGTCGTAAGGAAATTTAAACTTTCTAGAATAATTTTGTAGAACGACAAAACTCAGAATTTTTTGAATTTCTGAATTTAATTTAGAATTTTCAATTTTTCGATATTTTTTTAATATTAAATATATAATTTAAGAAGGTAAAGAAAGTGAAAACTTAGTTTTTATCTTTATTCTTGGTACTTTATACGCAAACTTAATTGAGTAGTTTTTGTTATAGATTTGTTAAAAATAAATTAAAAAAAAAAATTCTATACAAAACGTGCAGTTTAATTTACTGAACTCATACTTAACACCCAGAGACATTTTTGTAGGTAAATAGAAGCAATGAACATATTAACAAAAGTTAGTTTAGAGATAGTTAAATTAATTAAAATTTTCAAATAATTTTTATTTAATAATTTCTTAATGAAATTATAAAATACCAAATAATTTTGCATATTCAAGAGAAAAAGAGTTGTGTACTTTACAAAAATTAGCGAGAATTTCAGTTTAGCACAATAGTTTAACTTAAAGGATCAAAAAACCTCACTTTTATATATATTTTTTTTTTGTAATGAAAGAAATATGTTCCAAACTTTTTGTGTTTTCAGGATTAACACTAAGCATACCATAACGGGTCAAATGACCCATTTTGAACTTTTGCATTGAAAATGCACGTGTAATTTTATTGCGTTTGTACATTTGACTTCATGACTTTTTCTAAGTAATTAATGTACAATTATAACAATTTTTCTTTTTTGTTTTGTTTTGTTTATTCTGAGTAATTCTTGTTGTATATTGATATCTACCAACAACGGGTCATTTGACCCGCTATGGTAGAAATAGGTATATATTAAGTCTTGGTATGATTAGTGTTAATCAATTGCGTTTGGTTTGTAGAACAGTAACTTGCATTAAAAATTTGCAATATCACAATTTGAAAGAGCTAAAACTTGAAAGGTAGATTTTGAAAGATTTTGTTTTAGAAATAATTGTGTTTGGTGAGATCTAATTGTGTACAAATTTTTTATTTTCCTATCTTGAACGATGTAGATATTTTTTAATCAAGTGGATAAAGTATTTTTTTCAAAATATGTTAAATTTTATCTTAAATTTATGTTTTTTAATTTTTGTTTCTTTAACTCTTTTATAAGTAAGCGACAAGATGTTATTCAGATGAACAAATCATTTAAAAGTAATAATTTTAATAGTTTTTTTCTATTTAAATTTACTCAATGCATCACAAAAACAAAATATTATTAAATATAAAATTGCTATTAAAAACCAAAATCATAAAAATTTTAATTGGTTGCTCTTCGGCGTCTGTTGCTCTTCGACGAAATGATGAACAATGAAACGATTGTCTCAATATCTGCCCAAAATTCAACAAACGCATAAAATATACTTTAATATACTTGTTATAAATTATTTTAGAATATGATGCAAATATATGAATACTTCGGTAAGTATATAGGGGCATACTTATTTTACCTAAACGATTTTTGAATTTTTTACATTCCCAATTAACTTGTAATTATTTGTTATGTACCGTTATCGAATAACTTATAAACGCATATACGAGAAACAGAAAAGTAGATAAAAATTACAAAATTTATTAAAATTGGTCATCCGTTTCTATATATGAATAAAATATTTTCAAACGTTAAAAAGTGATGGCGGTATCACTAACATGCTTATGTACATTCTTTCTTCGTACTCATTTATTTACAAATTATTTTTGTGTAATTGTAGCTGTCTAAATAATCTTCCTTTTCCTAATTCTAAATAGTAATTGGCAAATAATTTAAATGGCGATAAATTTGCAATGAAAAACAAAAATTAAATATTATTTATGTCACCATATTTATTATTTAGTTTGTAGGTATGTTCATTTCACAAGTATATAAGGTCGGAGAAAAATCCTTGCATTTATTTAGAAATAAATTGAAATTTTAATATGAAATTAAATGGAATGGGTAAACGGGTGAGTAAGCAGTTGTTACACAAACATTTGTTTTTGTAATAAAAATAAATTTAGGTTAGGTTATTTTTGTATCGTTATAGATATATATCAGAATCTATAATATTTTGGCATCGAAGCAAATCCGCATGATATTGTAAAATGAATTAACTTTTTTTTTAAATAATAGAATACATTATATATTGGGATTTTTTTTTCTAATAGACATTTTGACTACAGACCTTGTCTTATACTTGTCAATAAGAAATTTCGATTTATTACGTGAAATAAAGTATGTGCCAGAAGAAGGCTGAATATAGTAGAAGTTTAACATTTTTGTGATCATTTAAAACTTAATTTTTGAAATTTAATTTAATAAAATATCTTACATGACGTGTATAACAATCTAACATGGTCTGGAGAGTAATAAATTTGATTTGTAAACAAATAATTTATGAAGTACCAGATTTGCCATTAACAACAAAAAAATCAAATTTTATTTTTGTTCTAATACCATCTTCTTTCATTGCATACTTTTTGGGGTGATGAAAAAAAATTAACACATTAATTATCCTACTGATGGAATTATGTTCTTAATTCGATATTTTGAAATAATTAATTTTATTTATTGATGATATTATTTTTACCGTTGGTTCTTTGCTTCTATTAGAATTTCATAAAGCTTATAGTTTCCCAGCAATTTTTTGTCAAATTTCTATATTTAACTTCTCGTAAAAAAGTTGATCAAAAATGGCATTTTCAAGACTTAAAGTGATCAAATTACTTAATAATTTACCAAAGCTACATACCTTATACCATATACATACTTACTAAATCAGCGGATCGAATTCTTTTCAAATTTTAGTAAAATTTTGATTAAATGAACATTTTTAAAAAAGCAATAGAAAATTTTGTAAAATTTTTCGGTAAACCTTTCTAAGAATTTCTATAACGGGACGCAATTAGTTGTTATTTGCTAGAATCTCACTGCAAAACAAGTTAAAAAAATATATCAGTTTAATTTTAATTATGAATTTATAATATCTACTCATAAAAAAAAATATTTACATATCTTTGATTTCAATTTTAAAACCTAATAATAAAATTTTACATTAAAGTATTTTTCAAGAAAACTGACTCACTTACATGTTTTATAAATATAAAAATTAAAATTTTATAGAAGAAATATTGGTGTTAATACATAAGTATTGTTAAGTCATAATGAAGTAACTGATAAATAATCGTAATAAAGGAAATTATTAAGAGATGCTGAAACATTTACAGAAAAATAAAAAAAAAAAAATATTTTCCATCAAGGCAAAATATATGTATGTACATACGTACATACCTATTTTGTGAATTAAAATTATTTTTATTCGCGTTATTACTTCAATTACTTACATTTGAGTGTATCAATATGAAATTCTTGGATTATAATGTTGCAATTCAATCCAGAAATAGCTGGAAAAAACATGAAAATATCTTATAAATGTAAATATTGATTTTATATTTTCTTCCATTTTGTTTAAATTTTTATTATTCTTTCTTCCATAATATTTAATAGTTTTATTTATTTTTTTTGTATATATATTTTCAGGTGGAGAATGTGCGAATGATTGATCGTTATAATACAAAAAATCCAACAATTGGTACACTTTATATAACAGCAACTCATTTAATTTTCGTTGAACCAGAATCTAACAAAGAGACATGGGTAAATAAAAAAAAAATATATAAAAAAAAACTTTTTTTATTTATCATCAACTTTTATATTTTATCCTTTTTATTAAATTAAAAAGGAAATTATTCATATAAATAAAAAGTAAATCTTGAATTCATATACCTATTCATACTACAATATTATAGTTTTTGTTGTGTATTCATTCAATATTGTTGTTTTTAATATGAATATGGCACGATTGCAGGCACAATAACATTTTGAAAGATTACTTTTTAATGAGCCATTAAAAAAGAAAATTATTTATTGAAATTTTCATTTTTAATATTTACAAAGAATATTTTTATATATACATACTTAATAATTGAAATTTAAAAGAGTTTTACATCCTTAGGGGCAATAAGATATGAAAAAAGTTTTTTAATAAATTACAAAATTACAATTAAGAAAAGAAAAAAAATTATGGTAAAAAATTACTTGAAGAACTATAAAAAGATTTTTTAATTGAGTCCAAACATTTACATTTATTCTCTTTTATATTAATTTAAATTTCAAATTAAAATTTAGTGTACGGGGGTTTTCGTTAAATTAGTTCAAGAATAGTTCTAACTTGTAGCACGTTCAAAAATAAAGATCGTTCAGAAATGACTCACTGTAATAAAGTGTGTTCGTAAATTCATTCTTTAATAGAGAAATGCCAGAACTGTAATGCAGACATTTAGTTCAAATTTCTTCACTACCACATGAGATTTTTATTTTTTTTTAATTAAAATTTTCAAAATTTTAATTTTAATAAAAATGTTATTCAAATTATTTCCGAACTATAGATTAAATACTAAAAATAAATAGATTAATCATAAAAAGGTAGCTGAAACTTTTGCATACTATGTTTAACGTTGCGGCTTGAAAATTTAAATTCTAATGTAGAACTTCTATGCCACAGTTTAAGAAGTCCTGCTCTATATTTAAGTAAACTAAATATCTTATATAACATTTTAAATTTATTCAATTTAGAAAAACTTTCAGATGGTTTAGATCCTTAATATTGAATTTCTGAATTTTTATATACGTATTTAAGTAATAGACAAATAACAAGTCCATGGGTTGTCCATGGGTTCAAAAGTTATTAAATAGGTGAATGTTGTAATAAAACAATTCATTTTTTTATTCATATTTCCACAACATATATTTTATATGATATTCTTAAATTTCAGGAAATAATTTTATAATAATATTGAATTCACCTTAGACATAAATTACTATATTCAACCAAAACCTAAAATTCTATAATTTAAAAATTTTAAATTACAAATCCTAATATTTGATAAAAATTATATAAAATCTAAAATGTTCTTTTAATAAGTACTAACATTAAAAATTAATTTTTCAATATAATTTATTTTAAATATTTAATTTAGAAAGACCTTAAAATAATTTTTATTTTTAATAAAATTATATAATCCTATTTCGATATTTATTGCAATTTCTACTACCGTATATTAAAAGTAAAATTTATTTAACCTTAATGTATGTATAACAATGTAAGCATAATAATATTGATAGACCGAATTTTTGTGATATTTATTGCCATTTATGTATATATATATAAATATTTTTGGTATATAAAACAAAGTACATATAAATATTGTGGTTTGTTAAAGCTTTTGGGTGCAATTAAAATCATTTGTTTTTTTCTTTATTTAAAACCCAATTTAACATTTACATGATATTTTTAAAACACAAAATACATAATACCATAAAATAAATAACATTACAGAAAAAGGCAAAAAAAAAAAAGAAAATAAATTGATTAAATGTTAATGTTAGGCAGTTTATAGTGATAACATAAAAAGCTTCGCGAAATTTTTTATTAAAAATATAAAATGAAATGCTTGCGGACAACTACATATGTACATAAATGTACATACATAAAATTTAATAAAATATAAACAAAATAAAAACCCTAAATAAATTAAAAAGGATATTTTCCTAACATTGTGATCCTTTCAATAAAAACTTTTTTTTGTTCTTCGTCTGTTTCGTATTCTTTTTTCCTCACATATAAATTAAATATGATGGATGAAACATAATAAATTTTAAACCTTTAGAATGTAAGTTAATCTTTGATAATAAATGTATTTTGCATACACGAATGAAAGTACTTTATAAACAAACAAAAAAAAAGAGGGTATAAAGGCATAAAGGCCAAGTAAGATGAAAATTTCAATGCAATTTCAAATAAAATTTAAAAAAAAAAAGAAAAATTTTTCACTTTATACCAAAAAGGAGGATGTGTAGGAGTTTATGCTTAAAAAAAAATTTATCATAGTCATTGAAATTTGATTGAAATAAAAAAAAAATTAACCCATTTGAAAATTGAATTTAAATTCACTTTTATGATTATGATCAAGCTTAACAATTATTGTTTTATACAATTACATTTACATAATTATCTAGGACTGCCTTAAGTATTTACTGTCATACCTAATATTTGTATATTTAAGTAGGCTAAAATATCAAGTAATGCAATTGAAATATTACATGTGAGAGCCCAAAAGCGAATTTGAGGCTTTGATATAACATTCATAACCTTACACATAATAGACTAATAAATTGAAGTAAAGATTAAATAGGTTGAATAGAAAAATTTCAAATTCATCGAAATTTTAATTCATGACTTTGTTCTAGAATTCTAGGCAAAAATTTATAAAATTGAACAATTATAATTAATGGAAACTAATACTAATATATATATATATACATATATATATATATTTTTATTTTTAGATATTGCATATGCACATTGCTAGTGTTGATAAATTAGCGTTAAGCACAACTGGTTCACCGCTATTAATAAGATGTAAAACATTTCTTTCAGTAAATTTTGTTATTCCAAAAGACAGTGAATGTCACGATGTTTATACAAGTCTTTTAAAACTCTTTCAACCAGGTAATGTTTATTATAACCTATCGAATAAAAATTATTCGCATGAAAATTGAAAATATTTTCAATTATGCTTCATTTCCCTTTAAATATTCTCTTTAAATATCTTAAGTTTTTCTTTTCATGCATCCTATACATTTGAAATTTTTAATATATAAAAAATTTATAAAATACAAAACAAATTTTCTTTTTTAGTTTCCATAAATAAATTGTATGCATTCAGCTATTCGCCTGGTAAAGAAGATTTTCCCAAATCAGCTGGATGGGATTTTTTTAAATTGGAAAATGAATTTAAAAGAATGAAAGTTCCTAATGATCAATGGTCATTGTGTAATTTAAATCAAAATTATGAATTATGTGACACATACCCAAGACAAATATATGTGCCAGCTGAAGCTTCTACAGCTATGTTAATTGGAAGTTCAAGATTTCGTTCAAAAGGACGTTTACCAGCTTTAACATATTTGCATTCAAATAAGGTAAATAGTTGTTACTTTTCTTTTTGGCTTTTTGTTACAAATTTATGAAAAAATTTATGTAGTAATTTGGAATCGAATTTAAAATTTTTTACATTATTCGTTTTTTAGGCTACAATATGTCGTTGCAGTCAACCACTTTCAGGATTCAGCGCACGATGTTTGGAGGATGAACAAATGCTTGAGGCAATAAGAAAAACTAATCCAAATGTTGACTATATGTATGTTGTAGACACCAGACCAAGAGTAAGTACATTTATTCTTAATTTAACGAAAAAAAATTAAAATATATAAAATCGCAAATTTTAATATTTTGTTTCTTTTAGAAGCATAAATATAGATTTTATTAAATTTTCTTTACAGATAAACGCTATGGCAAATCGCGCAGCAGGAAAAGGCTATGAAAATGAAGCATTCTATGAAAATATTAAATTTCAATTCCTAGGAATTGAAAATATTCATGTACAAAGGACAAGCCTACAAAAATTAATAGAAACATGCGAACAAAAATCACCAACTATGAGTGGATTTTTAAGTTCATTAGAATCATCTGGATGGTTAAAACATATACGATCAATATTAGATACTTCAAGGTAAAAAATAAAATTTTCCAAATTTTTTAATATTTTTTAAAATTTTAACTTTTTTATTTAGTTTTATTGCAAATGCTGTTGACAAAGGTGTATCAGTTGTAGTACATTGTTCAGATGGGTGGGATCGTACCGCACAAGTTTGCTCTTTAGCTTCGTTAATGTTAGATCCGTATTATAGAACAATAAAAGGTTTTCAAGCATTAATTGAAAAAGATTGGTTAGCTTTTGGTCATAAATTCAGTGAACGATGTGGTCATATTCAAACAGATCCCAAAGAAATATCACCAGTATTTACACAATTTTTAGATTGTACGTGGCAATTAATGATACAAAGAAATGATGCTTTTGAATTTAATGAAAGATTTTTATTAATATTGCACGATCATGTAATGTCTTGTCAATTTGGCACATTTATTGGAAATTGTGAAAAAGATAGGTTAGATTTAAAATTATCTGAACGAACATATTCTTTGTGGGGATATATGGCTAATTATATGAATGAATATGTTAACCCATTGTATAGACCGGAAATGGATGAAATATTAAAAGCAAATTTAGCACCACAATGTATAAGGTCTAATCCACATATTGATATTTATTTATAATGGAAAATATATTTGTAATTATTTATATAGATTCTGGCGGGGAATGTATAGTAGATTCGAGAGCGGAGTGCATCCAAGGGAACCACTTGGTGATTTATTATTAGCAAGTAAAGACCACTGTAATTCATTGGAGGACCATGTAACACATTTGTCAAAGGTAAAACAAAATTTTTCAAAATTTTTCTACCAAAATTTTCTGTTATTTTAATTGTCGTATAAATGAATAAATTTATAGAGGATTGCGAGTTTTAAGAACTACATTTCGAAGTCAGCTAAAAAATTATCGGATGCTACAAGAACAACAAGTAAAGAATGCACAAATCCAGAAATCAACGACAACAAGTAATTTTGATTGTTTCATTTCAATTACTTTAAATTTTATTACACCCTTTTTAGATACAACTATGATAATAAGAAAATGAGTGAACTTTCATCAGCAGATGATGATCACCCTTTAAAATCCGCCGAAATGAGTTTCTCAAATTTATCTGTAAGAAAAAAATATCCCAATTTTTGGTCAAACCATTTACTCAAAAAAAAATATATTTATTTCAGATGTCTGAGGTTGACCCAAATAGATTAGCAGAGGAAATAGATTCAGTAGCAGTCGAATGGAAATCATTAAGAAATGTTACAACGTGTCCATGTTCAACACCCTTTGATCAATTCAATAAAAAGGTTATTAATTCAATATTTTGCAACTCAGGCAATAACGTTTTCATAACTAATTTTGAATATTCATTGACAAAATTTGAACATTAGTTTTTGATAAAAACTCAATATTATTCCAGATTTTAATTTTTCTAAAATTTTTTAAAGTCTTCTAATAGTTACGTCTCAGAAAAAAAGCAATAGCTAATATAAAAAGTCAATATTTTTAGAAAAAATATAAAATGGTTAATAATAATATATAATAATATTTTTACTTTTTAGAACCACTGTTGGAAATGTGGAGAAGTTTTCTGTTCAAGATGTATTGATAAATCGATATCATTACCTGGCCATGATAGCGGTAAACCAGTTCCAGTATGTCGATCTTGTTTTCGTTTGGTCAAAAAGATTAGTCCGTAATTTATTCATAACAAATTCATAAATAGATGTATAATTAAACAAAATATATATATTTTACTCCAAAACAAAGAAAAATGTTACGATTATAGTACAGTATACACTAACATATAAGTATTAGATATAAGGTAAATTATAGCACATATGCAAAGAATGCCTAGATTTTTAAAAGCGATATAAGAAATAAAGTTGCAATTGTTTATGTTTCATGTAATTAAAAGAATGTTCTATAAAATAAATCAGCATTATTACTTTTTTTTTTTGAAAACTGCTCTCTTTTAAGCAAGTTAATACTAAGATCATACTATGAACATATTTATATTTATTCTTAATCTATTTATTTAATTTTATCGTTAAATATTTTAAATTGGTATTGAATTTGTAAGCATTCAAAATTGATAGAGTCTTAATAACTTTTTTATTTTCAATTTTATCAAATTCAATAATGTCAACTGAAAAAATTAATGATAAAAAATTAAATTATGATAGCCTTTTCGGTGTATATTAACTTGTTTTTTTTTTTGTCATTAAATATTATTATTATGAAAAGAAGTAATGTTGATGGACACAAAATTATGTTTTAAAGACTGTAATAAACGAAAATTTTATTTTATATGTATATATAGAAAAATCTGATTTATGTTCAATCAATATGAAATATAATTTCGTTGTGATTTAAATATAATAATTGTTATTTTTGTTTTTTTATAGAAAATTAAAAATCAATATGTATGTTGTATGTATACACAATATTTATAGAAATTCTAACGAAGTATTATCACTTATTAGTAATACATGTATGTACACGCATACATATTTTTATTTATAATTTGCAATATTATAATAGAAGAAGGAATAAGTAATCAAGCGGCATTAGCTGGTAAAATAGAGTAATTCTATTGTAGTTCTCTTATATGATATGGCTTTTGTGATAATGATTTTTGATGAACCAAATGAAAATTTGCCCTTCACTTATCTTGTCTATTAATTTGTGCTTGAATGATGAAGTTAACTATAGTTGAAAGAAAGCATTTAGGTCAACAATTATGCATTTATCAGTATATACTATTGTTGAAACATCAAATAATTATAAGTTATGGCATAGTGATTAATTATTAGAAAATCCTAAATTATGAAAGCTATTCTTGTATTTATGTATATTTTTGAAAAAGTAAACAAATATTTTTATATTGAACAGGTTGATAAGAAAATTATTGAGATAAGTATGTATTGAATTGTGAAATCTAGGATTTAGTAAATAAATATGTATATGCATAGTAAAAATTTTCTTGTTAAACTTTTACGTAAAGAAAGAAGTAAAATGTGGGTAAGTTTAAAAAATTAATAAAAATCTATTATTGTATATCAGCTGAAGATAACATTGTAAATCGTATTTATACATAATCTTTCAAAGCCATTTAAATTATAAAAACTTTTTTTATTATTCTACATGTTAATAATTACTAAACAATATGTAATATGTATTCAGTGCAAGAATCATTAAAAGAAACAATAATTTTTTCATTTTAAAATTTACATACATACTTGTAATAAGATCGTACGCTAATATTTCATGGTTATTTCTAATTTTTTTCATTTCGTTTATAAGAAAAAACAGAGTAAAAAACTTTATACACTTTTTCAATTATATATAAATATTTAATATACGAATTTCTTTCAAATTTAATAAAATATTAACCTTATGTGCTCGACTTTAGTTTCAAAATTTTGGTTTTATTCAAAAACATTTCTTTGCAAGCAAATCGATATTTCACTGCACAACGATAATAATTTTAAGCTACATGATTATTAAATTAAGAAAATAATAAGAAGCTTGAAAAATTAAAATTTTAAAATTATTATTGTATTTTAAAATTCATATGTTATGTTATTTTGTAGTAACTTACATTATATTATATTGTGATGGATTTCAAAGCACTACAAAGCTTGGAATGAATAAATTTAAATTTGTTGAAAAGCACTTGTTTCAAAAATTTTATTTTATTACCCGACGAAGTTTAAAAGCATAAAACAAATTGGAATGTGGTACAGCTCATGTAAATAACAACCATTTATGAGTAAAGAATAAGTAAATATAAGAAGGAAATTAATTACGTACGTAGCTGATTAAATAAATTGAATAAGTCGTCAAAAAAAGTGTTGATTAAACCAATTACATTCTCTAAACATTTTTTTGCTTTATTATTTTTTAGAAATTTGCTTTAACCAGCCAAATCAATTTGACTTTTTGGAATACAGCAAATTTCAATAACTGAAATGATTTCAAAAACAAGCTTTTTAAGAATCTTAAAAATTTTTCAAGTGTGGTTTTCGTCCCTAAAAATTATAAAACAGAAGTTTTAAATACCATTATAAAATGCAACATTGCAAATGAGTTTATACCAGCCACATGAACAGTTTATTTTGATTTGGAATTTGCTGATCTCAAATTTATTTATTTTTTTCCTTCTTCACCCCCATATTTATTAAATTTATTAAAAACAGGAAATTATAGGAAAAAGAGCATTAATTTATTTAAAAAAGAAATCTTTGAATTTAAAAGAATACATCAATGAAAACTTTGACCCCAAACTATGTTTTATTTAAAGGCGGTACTTTGCAAAAGAAACTTTCTCATTAGAAATTAACGACAAATTTTGTTAAATTTGCGAATGTTTTCTTAAGAGCATATCGTTATCCTACTGCATATCCGTAATTTTCCTTATAAACTGCCATAAAACTTAAATTAAATTTTGTCAAAAAAAATTATAATTCTGATGTACACACAGCAACGAAAGTCATCATACACTATTATTTTTTTAAATAATTTAGCATCAAAGATATCCACATAAGTTAATATTTTTATTATTTGTTAGAAAATGAAGTAAAAGAAATATACTTATAAGCTTATATATAACAAAAACAATTCATTAATTCAAAGTTATAAAACAAAAACAAAAAATTCCATTAAAAATTGCAACGAAATTCATCATACACTAAATAAAAATTTTAAAGAAATTGCAGAAAATATGGTATCTAATACCTTGTTGGTCCACCTTTTGCTTGAAGCAGAGCTTCCAAGCGTCTTGGCATAGATTGACTAGGTTACAAGTGACCGTCGATGGTATTTTATGCCATTCTTCAATTATAACGCGTTTCAAAGACTCCTTGCTAGTTATGTCGTGTTTCCTAATTTTTTGTTCTAAAAAATCCCATAGATGTTCTATGGGATTCAAATCAGGGACTGGGGTGGTGAATGGAGTTGTTTTGGATCGTTATACAACCGCCATTCCTTTGCAACTCTTGCAGTATGTTTGGGATCGTTATCCTGTTGAAAGACCCAGGTCGATCCCAACTTTAATTTTTCGGCAGACTGTTTTAAATTATTTAATTATTAATCTGTTTTAATATTTAATTATTGCCACTGATCCATTTTCCCACCAATAAAACTAAACTGCCCACCCCAGACACCGCAATCGACCCCTAAACCATCATAGAACCCCCACCATGTTTTACTGTGGGTATAATTTGTTGCAAATTCAGTGTTTCATTACACTTGCGCCAATTTTTCCCCTACCATCTGCACCAAAAACATTGAATTTACTTTCATCTGTGAAGAGCACGGTTTGCCAGAATTCCAAAGTTGCTTTTTCGTATTTTTTTGCAAACTCTATTCTTTTGCATTTATTAATATCTGATATTAGAGGTTTTTTACGTGGAACTCGGCCGTGACATCCTTCTTGCCACAAAAATCTACGAATAGCTTGGGCATGTATATCAGTGTGCAACTTTTGTGATGTACTTGCAACTAATTTTGGAGCACTGAGTTTCGGATTTTTCCTTAATTCTTGTAAAACACCTCTATTAGTACGGTCATCCATTTTCGAAGGGCGACCAATTCTCTAAGGATTTTCTACGGTTCCTGAATTTTCGGCCCGGTTTATTATTTGGACAATTGTCGAAAAACTCCGGCCAATTATTTCCCCAATTATTTATTTGTCTGACAGATTTGCCTTTATGTTTTAATTTCACTATTATTTCCCTTTCTTCTATTGTAGTTTCTTTACGTGTTTTTGCCATATTATTTTCTTGAAGTTGGTGAACTTCATTAAATGAAAACAACAAATAAATTGACTTGTGCTTCAATAAAACTATAAGCCTACTTTAAAAAATATTTCATGTCGGCGCCTAAATGTCGCGAAACAGATTCCATAAAATTAATGTATGATAACTTTCGTTGCAAAAAATATCACAAATTTTTTATATTTTTCTTAAGTTTGAGCATACATTAAGTGGGGCCTTGCATCTTATACTCAATGCTCTTTAAATTAATTGTGTTTCGAAACTATGAATGAATTTTTCATCAAACTGTACTAAATTCGGAGAAATAGCAAAAATATAGGGTGTATGATGACTTTCGTTATATAGTGGGGTTAAATCTTAATTTAAAAATATAATTATAAATAAATTGATTAATTTTATTATGAATTAAATTATTTAGCCCATTCATTCTTACCAATGTATTCATAAGTCCAAACGTATGGGACAGTTTTAAAATAGGTTTGTCTAGTCTGAAGTGGCAACACTCTTCATTACCTATAAATTAAATTGGGGTGACCATGTCTTCACAAAAAAGAAACAGAAAACAAACGTTAATAATTTCTCAAGCGACGAAAATATTAAATTTTTAAAATACTTTGTACATACAATATACATATGTATTGCGTTAATTCATGCGGTAGATAAAAATAGTAATAGTAACCAAATTCTTATACATATGCACTTTGGATATCAATTATTCTTTTTACTTACGAATTTAAGCTAGCTGTATTTTTTAAATTTAACTTAATTTTATACGAAATTATGGCACTGACATTTGACCTACGAAACTCAAAATGGATTATAAATTTTTCTAACTTTTAAAGGCCTTACTAGAATTAGAATGTAATAGAAGTACATATGTAAATAGCAAGTACCGTATATGTAAAATCATATTCATGAATGTGAATACAATGTGATATTATATGCGTTATATATGTATTTTTTTTATAAAAGGGTTTTTCTTTCGCTAAGTAATCGTTAAGCAAGTCAACACGTAAAAAAAACCTTAGCATCTTAGTAGTTATATATTATCTATGCCTTAAAAGGATTTTAAATACCAAAGTGTATACCAAATAATTTTGATTGCTGTATTTTCATGACATCTAAAAAATTGTTTTTAAAAAAGTTAATTAAAAAAATTAGATCTAATAAATTAAATAATAAAAATATTATTTTTACATAATATTTCCTATTCACTCAGTTCTATGTGATTTTGGACTGTTCTATATCCACAAGTTTTGAATATTAAGATATGCAAATCAATATTATCGTGGCCGTGATAATAAGCCTTTTTTATAAAAGATGTTTTTTTTTTCACCACAAATTCATTTTTATTCAAAATTTTTTCATTTTTAGTATACAATTTTTTAACTTGGTTTTTGACATCAGAAAACTTCATTGGAAAATTGAAAAAAATCTTACTTTAGTTTTACCCTTTTCAAATTAAAAATTTCATTTTAACATCTATTGTATTGACTGACATAAAATTATTATTGACTTAAATTGTGATATTATGCTTTTGCTTGATACTCTTCAACATGTTATCAAACTTTATATTCTGTTGCATTGAATTTTAAGGTGTGTAATAGAGTGTGAACATGAAAACACATTGAACTTTGTAAAACAACATATTTTGAACATAACTTTATTAAAATTTTATTAGTGGGCATTAGTCAAAAAATTTTTTATTCTGTGTCAGGCTTTTTTATTTCTAAAATCATTATTGGACCAGATTGTAGTCATACAAAAGACGACAAACCCTCCACAAAAATGTTTATATCTTCAATCTATTTGTTTAACTTTATAATCGAAGTAATTAATAAAATATGACTGTTGAAAATACTTCTTTTTCTCATTGTTATAATGATGATTTAAAAGAAAATAATTGAAATAAACTAACAAAGAATAATATAGTACAGAGAAAAACAACAACCTTTTAGTTTTTTTTTTTATTCGAGCTCTAGTACATTTTAAACATTTTTAAAATGAAGATTTTATGTGTGTTTTGGCAACTTTTATCTGTCACTTGAGTTTGATCGGGAGAGTTAAAAAAGGTTCACCATATTTGTTGAAATATAAAATAAAAATATCAGAAAAAACTTTTGGGGAAATTTAGAAAGTGATTATTTAATTTAGAATAAAAAAACGTAATCCATAGTATTTTATACAAAATATAATTTGTGAATTTAATCCTTTGGAAGGATATAAAAATGAGTTCACAGCCAAGTCCATTAACAACAATGTCACACGCAAATGACAACGCACAGGTATTACAATGGATAAATGAATTAGCTCATCCTGATACTAGAGAAACGGCATTGCTGGAATTAAGTAAAAAAAGAGAAAGTGTTCCTGACCTTGCTCCAATGTTGTGGAACAGTTTTGGTACAACAGCAGCTTTACTACAAGAAATTATTAATATATATCCATCAATTACACCTGCCACACTAATTGCGCATCAATCCAATAGGGTGTGTAACGCATTAGCATTGCTTCAATGTGTTGCATCACATCCTGAAACACGTACAGCATTTTTAAATGCTCAAATTCCGTTATTTCTCTACCCTTTTCTTCATACTACTTCAAAAACTCGACCATTCGAATATCTTCGTTTAACTAGCTTGGGAGTAATTGGTGCGCTTGTAAAGACTGATGAACAAGAAGTGATAACGTTTCTTTTGAGTACTGAGATTATACCATTATGTTTAAGAATTATGGAATCTGGATCTGAGTTAAGTAAAACTGTTGCAACATTTATTTTACAAAAAATTTTGCTAGATGATAGCGGCTTATCATATATTTGCCAAACGTATGAAAGATTTTCTCATGTTGCCATTATTTTGGGAAAAATGGTAATACAATTGGCTAAAGAACCTTCGGCAAGGCTACTAAAACATATTGTACGTTGTTATTTGAGGCTTTCTGATAATCCAAGAGCAAGAGAAGCACTTAGGCAATGCTTACCCGATCAATTACGCGATGCCACTTTTGTATCCTGTCTTCAAGACGATAAAGCAACAAAGCATTGGTTAACGTTATTGATTAAAAATCTGGATATCGTTGGAGGTCAACCTAATGACCCTCGTCAAATGGGTATGTCACCTTTAACGTCATAAGAATGGTATGGTTCTACCTTCTATGCAATCCCGTGATAAATCCATTACAAATAAAAAAATACATATAGATTAACAAAACGAGACTGGTCAATAATTGAACAAAATTTAATAAATATTAAAAAGTACCTAATTGATAACAACAGAAAATTATTAAAAAATTTGTAGAATCTATAGAATTATAATAAAAATGCTTTTATTATCTTGAATTACATATTGATAAAAGTAGGTTTAGAAAAATGAACCATTAAAAAATAATGTATTAATATTTATATTTAATAAGAATCTTTGTTTGAATTATGAAATTTATTATTCTATAAAATTAGAAAATAAAGGTTATAAAATTATTTGAGTTTTATGCGTACACTAAATTGCTACTCATTTCGTATTTAAGTGCTGCAAGAACTTTTAGAAATATTACACATAAAAACGTAATATATTTGTACATATTTGAAAACAGAAACTATAACGAATGTACTATACGAACTCATGGAATTAAAAAATAAGCAAATTTGCAATTTGATACTTTTATTACGAGAAATCCTTGCAATTAAAGAAAGTTAAGTAAGCATGTGGAAATGATTGCTTTAGCAAAAATCTGCGATAAGTTTGAATAAAAACTCACTAATGATTTGCACCAAACAAAAAATCTTTATATTTATTTGTAAATTTTTTACAATTACTACATTGGATTACCTATAAAGAAGCAATTTTTATATACAAATAATTTAAAGATTTTAATAAAGATCAGTTGGTCTTAGCCTTAATATAACAGGAACGCTAGTACAAGGCAAAATTGCCACTTCGGTTACAACAGCAGTAACTAATTCTGGTGGCGTAATATCATAGTTTAAATTCAATGGCAAAATTTTGTTAGCTCCCTTTCGCCAGTTAGAAAGTTTACATGTGTCATTCATAATTAAATCATCCGGGTTTCCTAATTCATTGTATACAATAGCATCAGTTTGAACACGATCGCTAAATTTGTGCGTTTCACAACAGACTAAAACAGGTACATTAAATGATTTCGCTACTAAGGCAATTTGAGCTGTTCCCGTGCGTGCCATTACATTCCCATTGGCTAGCAGTGCATGAGCTCCCATTAATATTTTTGTTACTTCCGGCATTATAAAACCTATAGCGTTTATCAGCACATAAGTACACGGAATTTCTTTTAAAGCTAACTTTCTGTATAATTCTCGCCCTTCTAGGAATGGTCGTGAATCAACAACTATAACCTTGAAATCTATTTTCCGATTGTAAGCATCTTCCAAAATTTGGTAAATTAAAGACGAGCTGAAATTATTTTTTCAAAAAAAATGTAAAACAAATATTGTTAAAACTGGTTACCAATTATAGGTTAAAATTACATCCCCCTCCGAAATTTTTTCTTGAACAAAACCACTAATAGCTTGAGCTGCCTTTTCTATTTGATCTCGTATGTAAGTATCAATATGCTCACATAAATGTTCCTTTAACTATGAAAAAAATATTATTAAATTTTGGATTTTATGTCAATTTTTTTTTTGTTATTATCAAAAAATAATCAAAAAATTACTTCTGATTCCGGAGAATCATTTGAAAGATGTCTTAGCACCGACTGTATAGCTTTATGTGCGTTACTAACTGAGACAGCTATTGGACGACATTTATCTAAGTACTGAACACAATTATTAATACTCTCTTCTAACCCGCGGGTAAATTCTTTTTTTGGAGGCGTTTGATAATCTTGAATAAGCTGAAATCATTTATTAAAATATGAAGCCTAATTTTAATCATTAGAAACTTACAACTTTCAACGCTCTTAAAAAAGATATACACCTGGCATTTGATCCCACAACTGTTCTAGATGAAATTTGTTCACCTAGTTGTACAATAGAAGGATGAATGTGAGGATGATTAATAAATTGGTTCTTCTCCTGCAAATCTTCTCTATCTAAATGTTTGAATAATTTAACTTTATATTCACTAGTAAAAGACCTTTGACCAGAAGAAAGTTTATGATGAGATTGTTGGGAATTTGAAGCTGTTTTCTGTACCTTCAAATGTACTTCACTCTTTTTAACCGTTTCAAGATCTTTCTTTTGTAATTTTTGTTTTTCTTCTAGGATTTTAGCCTTAGCAGCTCGTTGCGATTCTTGTAAGGCTCTCCTCTCAGCTTTTGACAATGGTTTCTTTTCAGTTACAATTACACGTCTACTTTCGGCGGACATAACAGCACATGAGCTCGTTTCACCATTTGTATTATTCTCAACTAATGTGGCCTGTTCAGATTTTTTATCGTTCATTTCGTTTTTCGAGTTTTGAATCTTGCTTTTGTCTGGATCAATTAAAAAGCCAGATGTGGATTTATTGTCAGTTGTGTAATTTGTTGCATTCGTTGTATTTTCCGCAGGCGTAGCTTCCAATTTATTGTTCTTCTTCGCTTGCTTTGCCAATTTTTTAGCTTGCCTCTCAGCCATAACTTCCTCTCTACTTTTGTTAATTTCAGAATTATTTTTTTCTGTCATGTTTTTTTCCGTTTTAGAATTTTCAATCTTTTCTGTCAGTTTGTTATTAACTGTAAGGTCTTTAATACTTTCTTCGACATCTTGTACTGAAGACATTTGTTGTGAAGTAGGCTTTTCACATAGAGAAACTGTTTCTTTTTCAGATTCTTTTGAAAATTTATTCTGGTCATCAGATGCTTTAGTAGAATTGTCAATTTTTGTGTTTATAGTCTTATTTTTCTTTGCATTCTTTTTATTTTGTCTAGCGGCTAAAATTTCTTCACGTGACATAGTTTGGTTCAAATTAGATTTGTTATTCATTTCTTTCTGGGAATCCAAAATTGAATTTTTCACTAATGATGGATTAATATCAGAAAGAGAATTTTCGTTAGCCTTATTTGTTGGTTTGCCTACGTTGTTTTGGAGTATTTTTGTGTTGATTGCAATAGTATCTGACACTTCCTCTAATTTGCTGGTGCTTCGTTCACTGCAATTAAATTTTCTATTCAAACTACAAGCTCTACTTTTAAAATCCTCGCCCGGCCGTTGTTTTGATAAAGTTTTTGTTTTATTGTTCGGTTTGGGTTTTTTTCTTGAAGTCTAAAAACAAAATATGACTATTAATTATTTAAAATTATGAAACAAAAGAAGAATGCGACGAATTTAAGCAATATGTAGCAATTTATTATTTAGAAGTACCTTTGCCTGTATATCATCAGTTGATTGCATTATAGAATACCTAGTTCTAAAAATACAAAACAAAAGATAAATAATCTGCTCATACGCTGAACTCAACAAGATAATGAGAATATAGAGCAGAAATATTAGAATATGTTGATTTGGCAAATATTAACATGTGTACCTAATAAGTAAAAATCTTACTTGCTCACATCTCGAATATCAGACAAGGTTGGAATGAAAATTCCGATGTTATCCAATTATTTAACTATTACTTACATTGTCTTTAGCTCCCAATTCCCAATCAAAATTATTTGAACAGTGGCTTTTTTGTGGATTTACTGCTATAAAGTTATGTTAAGGATTTCGAGTATAGTTTTCGTCGTTTCGTTTTCCAAAAAAATTACTAAATTCACACTTTATTCAAATTGAGTTGCCGTGGAAAAATTTCTGTTTAATTGGGTATGTTTACACGAGTATTGAATGAGTGTATTGACTGATTTTCTCTTATGCCAAATCCTCTCTTATATAAAAATGAATTAATTTGTTAAAGGATGTGTGTGATAAGCACAACATAAAAGCTGTGAATACGTTCAGTGCATACAGAAAACAAAGAGTTAGAAAATTAGACTAGACAAGAAATGTTAAATTTGCCGTTGGACTATTTTAGTAGGAAGGGCTATGCATTATCATTTAGTACGTGCAGTCACAAAGCTAAGAATGTCAAAATAATCCTACAAAAATAGTTTTTTACTAAAATTGATTCTATTTTATAAAACAGTAATGTAGTAGTGCCAATGTACATCTTTTACATTAATTGATTATTTTAATTTTGTTTTATTGATTTTTTTTAAAAAACAGAATCCTGTTATATAACTGTTTTAAATTTAATCATTTTGAAAAAATTATTATTCAACATAATTATAAGTACATATATTATTCCGGAGCTTAACCATCAGAAAAAAGTTCTTAATTTTACTTTTTAGGGAATCTTCTATCTAAAGAGCTTGTAAGAGTAAAAAGGGATCCTGTCGGGCTAAATTTCTTTTGTCCTTTTCTTTTGGATTTTTTGAATCCTTTGATTTTTATGTATTTTTCTGGTTTTTTATTTTCATTAGGTTTTTATATTTTCATTTACAAGATTGAAATAAAAAGTAAGAATGTTGCACTTCGTACAAAAAAAAATTACATTGACAAAAACAAAATAGAAAGTTTTCTACGTTTGCATGCAAAAGAAAATAAAATAATGAATGTCAGATAAAATATTCATTAAAAGATATGCAATTATTTTCGAGGTTAGTTTTTTTAATTTAGTATGATTAAATGGAAGCGCTTTTTCGTTTTGTTAAATTGTTAGTTTCTGCAAAAATAAAACTCTTGAAGGTAATAATAGTACATTATAATAGCGATATCAATAGAGCAACATTTCAACTTTACTGCCTTTTCCTCTCTCCATACACTTTTTGAAAAGTCCATAAACGGCAATACTTACCTTCATTTTTCTGGTAAAAAAAAACAATATCAAATCGATGTGTATTTTGTATGTATGTACAACTGTATGTGATGCCAAATTTATAATAGCCCGTTGTTTGGATTGTTGATTAAAAATTGGAATTTAAGACCGCAGGAACGCAATTACACCAAAGTGTAAAACTATTAACTTTGAAAATGAAAAATGAAATTTCAACAAATTGCAAAACATTTCGTAATTGCTGCAATAATTTTACAAATTAATGTGTCAATCATAGTGGAGTGTGAAGGAGAACATGAAGTGATCAAAAAGCAAGGAGTTCCTGTTACAGAGGTTGCAAACAATACCACTTTTTCCGGTAGTTCCACGACAGAAAAGATTAAGAATGTTAGTGACTCAGCCAATTTTACCAAAAATATTTATACATCGCAAGATGAAATGCCTGATTCATTTAAAACGGGATTTTATATACTAATGTCTGTAGGATTGGTCGGGCTTAGTTTTATTATTTACAAGGCTTTCAAGTAACCTTTTTTATGTACACATGTATATATTTTAATTTATATATTTTTAGATTAAGAATGACTCGAGCAGAAAGGAAATATGGAGTTCAAGGAGACAGAAACGCTCAAGAGCTTACCCCTCTTCCGACTTCAATAGACGAAGATAGCGACACTGAGGACCAAACAATTTTTGAACTTATTCGGCCGAAATAATAAGCTCATTTAATTAGATATAAAATTTATACAAATTTTTTGCTGTTAGCCTTTATAGTAACGTTAGCCTTAATACTTAAAAAATCACTACCACTTATTACAACTATTTTATACTAAAACGAATTAATATTTTTCAATGTGATAAAATTTTGATTATAAAGTAATATTTTTCCATTAACATGATAGTTTTCATTTTTGAATTTAGAGCTGTTTTGTTGTTATGGACATTTGAAAAAAAAAATTAAAAGTATACATATGTTTTTCTAAATCCAATCAAGGAAAATTGAAAATTTCTAATTCAACTTTATTTCTAAAAAACATTATGTAGGTAACATATTTAAAATTATTCTATTATAAGTTTATCAGCTGCATACAAACTCCCAATAATTACTTGCCTTTTTATCATTTCTAAATTATCTTCAGCCTTTTTTAGTTCCTTTTCTATTAACTTTGGATCTTTTATATTAGCTTTTTCTTTAAATTCATCTCTAATTTTTCTTAAAGCATACATTCTTATATTGTATGCTGGAAGTTTCCCAGCCTCACGAAGAAGTGTCTTGTATAAAGTTAAAGTATTCATTCTCTTATATGTATCTATTAGATTTGCTTTCGCAATACTACGATATCGAGGATTATATGTAGCTCAAATTTCTGATTAATAAATTTAAAATTCTTTCATTTATTATTCTCATAAAATAAATAGTTTCTTGTCTTTTTTAACTCTATACAAGTAATTTTATAATTTATTAAATGCTTTTAGCACGCTTTTGCGTTTTAATAAGGAAAATATTACTAAATGTTAAATATTTACATTAATTTCATTTGACATTTTCCTCATACTTCTATAATATTGCTATTAATCAGCTTACTAACATTGACATGACAAACATTACGTTATTAGTTTGTCAAATTACTAAGAAGTATAACTTCATTCAACTCTGAAGGTGATTTTGTGTTTGATTGCAATTTAAAATTATTTTGACTATAAATTTTTGTTGGGTAATAATTGCTTTAATATTGACATAATTTTTTTATGTAGCAAATTTTCTTTTTAATAAGGAAAAATAAAAGAAATAATTATAATATTTCTAGATGGCTTTTAAAAATATTCTAATTAAAATTAGAGAATAATATGTACTCAACAATTAAACAAAAAAAAAGTTAAAATATTCGGCTTCGGTATTACAAATATTCTTTTTCGGTTTTATGCTAGATTTTGTTGAGCTGAACATCAAAAATAAAGGTTTGTATTTCCAATTAAAATAATTGTTTTTAATAATGGCAATACTAATTTCAAAATGTCATTATTTAACATACTGAAAGTCAAAATTGTAGCTATCAAATTTTTTATTTCATTTACATATTTATAAATTTACTATCTTTATCTTCACAAAATTTGATTAATAAATTTTTATAAAATAAAATTTTTAAAGTTTACGTTTCAAATATATAGTATAAAAAGTTTTCAGAAAAACGTTTGGTAATTAAAAAGTCGTAATATTATTTTTTTTTACAAAAACCAAAACATTTTTGAAATAAAAAAAAAAAAATATTGAAAATTTTTGCGACTGATGACGTCTTATACGGGTAGTGAGTAAATTAAATTATAGAAATATTAAATCAAATTCGAGAATTATAAAAAAATACTTTTAAATTTATTTAGTGTAGTAATACCAAATATATCTTACTAATTCTTGTTTTTTAACTACAAATTTTTTTGTTTTGGCTCTTGAGAGTTAATAAACCTCTCCCTACTCACGAAATTTTTTTTTTATGGCTTCTGGATTTTATATTTTTGTTTTCAGTTATTGCAAATATTTTTTTTATTTTGTATTTTATTTTTAACACAAATATCTGTTGAAAATTGGTTAAAGGCATCATTAATCAAACGCGTTCGAAGATTTCACAAATGATGAGCCACCCGGATCATATTTTACATACTATAAAAATCTTTTCATAAAGAATATCTGGACATTGTGATCAAATTTGTATATAATGTAAATATTTTTTAAATTTAAATTCAACAAAGAAAAAAAATGGTGCCTTGTACTACATTTTCAACTAAATATACAATCATAATTATATTAATCTGTTTAAATTTTGCAAGATTTTTTTCTTTCATTTTGAATATAATTTTCCTTAATTCAAAAAAAAATCATTCATCATGTCTAAAATGTATGGCAAAGGGAAGAGTAAGTATCAACATTCATTTTTTGTTTTTGATTTCATAACTTTTATTTTTGAAAAAGGCATTGGCAAAACGATTCTTGTATAATATGTAAATATATTTATATGTGTAAAATTTTTCAAAATTAATTGTTAATATGTACACAGAAACCTTTAATTCAATTCATGTTATTTGAAAAACTAAGTTATTATTCAAATGTTATTTGGAAAAAAAATTGATATATTATTGTATATTTGTAGGCGGAGCGGTCGGTGGCAATATGGCTTTGAAAATAGGTAAGTGATTATTTATTTTAAAAAAGGTGATAATTTTGACAACCGCTTAGTGATATTCCTTTCATATCTTTAAATATCCACATACTTCAACTTCATATTCAGCTTATGAGGTTCCAACAGGGCATAAAAATTTTAATCCTTATAGATAGTACTTACGACACGTTCCAATCATTTTAATCAAATTCAAGGCACCCAATTTATTTTGCTTTTATAAACAAGAAATCTAATTGAAAAACTGAGACATCTGATTAAAAAAATAATTTTGTTTAAACTAATTCAGAAAAAATGAGTTATTGAATTTTGTAAATTGTTTAAAGCAAATGTAAGAGCTAGAGAATAAGTTCTAAACCATTCTAAAACTTATTCACATCGCAATTGTAATTGACTTTGAATAGAATTGCTGATTTCACCTTAACACAATAAAAGAAATACATACATATGTACATATTATATGAAGGTTATTTACATTTCTATTTATTCAATGTAAGGTTTAAAACCTAATCTGATTCGACTTTAAGCAAATAAATTATACAAAACTATCGATGAATTAGTCCATGTTTAAAACATGAGCAATTTTTTTCTCATTTAAATTAAGAATTACAGAGTACATACTCAATAACACTGAGATATTTGAATAACTTTTGAAAGAATTGTTTAATTACAAATTTTGTGATTGGAGGAGGTATTTTTTTCTAAATATCGAACGAAAAAAGAATACGTTTTTGATTCTAATAAATTTTTTTATATTATAGTTTCGTTTTTCTTTTTTTATTTTAACCAAAATTGTTTTTATTTTCAAAAATAAAAAATCTAATTATTGATTAAAATTGAAAAATTTTAATATTTTGCTTAGCACCGATAGAATCTGAAGAGAATGCAAAACTCCGGTTGCAGATAGAATTGGAATTTGTACAATGTTTAGGAAATCCAAATTATTTAAATTGTAAGTATTATATTTTGAACAAAATATTATTGTGGCAAATTTTAGAAGAAATAAAAATGCTTGATTTGCTTTCTAAACAACTAAAGTTTTTTATTGGGCATTTATACATTTTAATAAATTTCCTTTTTAGTTGAAAATTTTTGAATGTTTAATATTTGTCGCTGTATTTATACGTAATAGAAATGAATTTATAAATATTTATAATATTACGTCACCTTAGATCATAAGCATCCCAAACCTCATTTTAACAATTTTACGGATTAACCTTTTTTGAATTTGTAAATTTTTGTCTCCCGCTTTGTGATTTTATAACTAGACAAAATCAAGTCAGATTGTTATAACTTTTGAAGTTTCATTTTTCTGTATGTAAATCGAAACGTTTAATAATTTTTTTCTAGGAAAATTTTGACTTAGGATATTTTTGTAGGGAAGTTTTCTGGGCAGAACAATCCTATGTCCCTTTTTGTAGACGGATATAGGATGTTTCATAGGATAAAGCACAAACGGACGGATTTTTGCTCTTACAGAAATATGGTTTAGTAATAAAATTAATTCATGCGTATGAATTAAAAAAATACTAAAATAAAATAAGAGAAAAAAACCTATTTTGCAAAAAGTTGGACTTGGGATAATTCTGATCTAAGGTGGCGACTTCCGATTTATTTTTTATTTCTTTCAATAGCAAAATTTTGTATCACAATAAGAATTTGTATAATTAAAGTTTTGAAACTAATTTGTCAATAAATAATCATTTTAATTTCAGTTTTAGCTCAACGTGGCTACTTTAAAGACCAAACATTTATAAACTACTTAAAATATTTATTATATTGGAAAGAACCGGAATATGCCAAGTATATTATGTATCCAATTTGCTTGTATTTCTTAGATCTCTTGCAATATGAACATTTCCGTCGAGAAATAGCAAATACACAATGTTGCAAATTTATAGATGATCAAGCTATATTACTTTGGCAACATTATACCCGTCGTAGAACTAAGTTATTAGCACAAAATGATAATGCTAATATGTCTGAGCATCATAATCAAAATGGTAGTGTTGGAAATAATAGTGTTGTCGGGGGAAATATAAACTTAAATGCAACTACACCACAGCAAAATGGTATTTTGCAAAAAAACAATTGAAACATTGTTCAATAGACTAAAAATAATATATGTACACATAACTTTATTTCATATTGAAATTAAATTTAGATGAAATACGATAAATAATATTATAATATTATTTTCGCTTACATAACTACTGAAAAAGAAAAATCATTTATTTCGTTTAAATAAAAAAAAAATATTTATAAAAATGGTAATATTTTTTTTAGTAAAAATTTGCTTGGAAAAAACTGGAAGAATCAACAATTTTTGATTTTTCAGTGTATTTATGAATACATATCAATTCTTTGCTGTACAATGCTCATATAAAGGTCTGAAATTTGTAACTTGTAGTGAAGCTGCCATGAATCAGATTAGAAGTCGAAACCCATTTAATAAAACAATTGAAAATGTTTTTTTAAATGAACAAGACAAATTTTCAAATCAAAGTCAATACAAAAAGGACAAGCTGTCGTGCTGTCATTTTTATTCCTTTATTTAAAATTACCAAATATATCTACATCGAAAATGATGATAAAATAAGTAGAATAAAATGGTTTAAATAATAAGTAATTTGATGGGTCAAAAGATCTAATATGTATTTCATTATTTTTCGTAATTTCACACAAATATTTTTTAGCGATTAAAGAATTATTGCAAACGTTCCAAGTTAAATCACTTTTGGCAATGCCATATTTGAAAGATATTTTATTATATGCAAGTGTAACTTAAATTTATAATAAATGACTAGTCACTTTCCTATTGTCAATATGCAGTTCTGGTAAATTTTAGGATTTTTACTTGGAAAATAGTTTAATACATATTTGGAAAAATGAAAAAAATGAATAGCATTTACATATATTTCTATTAATGTGTTTATTTATTTTAAATTTTTAAGGATGCAATCAAATAAATAAATAGTTCATATAAATATTTATTACAACAATTAATAAACTACAGTACTTATTTGGTTGGAAATAAATTTTTCAAAATAAACTTGTATAAATAAGATATTTTTGTGCGATTTTTAATATTTAATGATAAAATAGAATTTTTAACTGCATAATTGCTACATTTACTACCAAAAATTAATAAGTGAGAAAAGTTTTAAAAATGAATTAAAGTGGAAAAATGAATGACAAAACTTTAAAAATTAGCAAAAATGAAAAACAATTGTTTAAAAATTGAGTAAGTTACAAAATAAATTAATAAATAATACGTAGTTATATAATATAATTAATATATACATATTTCGAACTCTATAGTCATTTTTATTTTAATTTTTTTAAACACTAATGTGTACTTTAAATTATTTCTATCAGTTATCTGTGTATTTAAGAAATAATTATCAATTTTGCTAATTATTAAAAATGTTTAACTCAAGCTTTCAATTAACTATTGAAATTCATGTTCTTTAAAGTAAAATAGTTGAAAATCGTACAAATAACCTCCTCATTATTTTATCTTTTTTTTCTTTTTCCTATCGCACATTACAATTTTTCAATATTTGATGTGAAATTCCTCTTGCCAATATTTGAACGTATTTCACTTAAATATTACAATTTCCGAATATTTAATTTATTTTGTAATATTATTACAAAAAGTCGTGCAGAACCTCAAACTTTGATTAACCAAAATGAGTAATTATATACACAAAAATTATTTGAATATATTTGAAAAATTTTTATCACTTGCCTTATATTAGCACTTTATAATGGCACTCATATAATTATTCTCATATTTATTTTAAAAAATTTTGAACATTCTATGTAGGTACAATGAAGTTTTCTAATGAAAATGAGATTCAAATTACTTGTTATACAATTTAATATATTAAATATATTTATGTATATATGTATATCCATATACATTTATAAACACCAGAATATGAAAATTATCTTTCATATCGAAAAAAACCAGTAACTCCTTCATTTATTATTGAATATCTCGATTAGAACATTTTACGATAGTTATTAAAAGTTTATAACATTTCGATAGTTTTGTTTTAACTTAGATCTAGTATAAAGAACATTCGAATAATCCAAACTGCAAAGTCTGTGAGAATAGCATGCTCGAAGTCGATAGTTGAGCTTAAAGTTCTGACAAAATTATTAAGTTTTTTTTATAATTACTGCAAAAATACGTATTATAAACTAGAAGAAGAGCATCTATTATGCTACAACAATGTTGGTTATTGCAGAATTGCTCACAAATTCAAGGAATTCAAAATCTCACATCTCTACTATGATTCCCTATTTTAAACTTCCTTTATATTAGAATATTGTAAATTAATTAAGATTAATTTAGAATGTAAATGTATGCATTTGTTTGGATTAAACTAAAAAAATATATGGAATGATCCGTCTCAAATGTTTTCTAAGAGTTCATTTAGCAATATTATTTTCAATTCAAATATTTTTTATTACAATTTTTATTTAAATACATTCTTGTTTTTGTCGCATTTTATTAGAAAAAAACAATAACATTTAAAAATCAAATAAATCCTCTATGCCACCGCCACCAAATAAGCCACCTCCGCTATTATCACTTAAACCGAAATCAAAACTAAAATCGTCATCATCAGCATTTGGTGGTACAAAAGCTCCATTAAATAAACCAGATATTCGATCTTCGACACCCATTTGTGTAGCAATTCCATAAATTAATCTCATAATTAATAATCTTATGAATCCTTGAGGTGTTGCTTCTTTTGATCCAATAAAGCTTAAAAATTGTTTATTTTCATAATTTTTATCATTAATAATTTTTTGTGTTTTCATCACTTTTCTAGACTCGCATTGCAATATAAATACATGGATTAAAGCTAAAATTAACATAATATTTTTCCAATTCATTCTTAATTTTTTTTTGTAAAATTTATAGATACTTTAAAAGACTATTACTATTTTCACTTTTATTATATTTTTTTTTTTCGATAATATTTTGCAAATTTAGTTTATTTACATTATAGCTTTCACTTTGTGACTCAGTTCAATTTAAAATCGGTAAAAAAATTCTTTTTTTTTTTACTTGTATTGGAAATATTATTTATTGCAGAGATGAGTGGATCAATGTATGTACGTTCTATATAATTTAATCATGCAATGTTGATATGTTCAATTATTATAGATCAACATCAATTATTAAACAAATTTGGTTCTGGAATCAATGATTAAATTACAAATAATTATAAATGAATAATAACTTTTAAATTAAAAATAATTATCACCAAATACACCCATTTCGAAACAGAAAGAAGGCACTTAAAATAATATAGTGTTGATCAGTAGCACGCGAAAGTTCAAATGTTTATTGAAAGAATGTGAATCAAAGAAATTTTGTTTTTCTTCACATTATTTTATTTTGATTATTTTTATTATGGAATACATCAGAAGAATATATTAAAAAGGTAAAAGTTACGCCGTTATTTTAAGGTTTTTTTACATGTATATATACTTTATATTATTTCACAGTGAGTGATCGAAATCTGTTTGTTTTATTAACTTCTTTTAATATTCTTAATCTTAAATATTATTTTCGTAGCTAATTTGTGTTTCTGGCCAAAATAATAACATTTTTGCAAAGACAATTAATGAACTTTTTGTTGTGATTGCATTTAACTAGCAAAATTTTTAGTTTATGAATAAGAGTCTCTAGAAGATAATTGAAAAAAGTGGAATCATGTTCAAAAATTGAGAACTCGCATCATGAGTGTTGTAGATTAATAAATGCAAAAACTGTAATTGTAAACAAAGGTAAAGCTTAAATGGATTCAATCTCAGTATGAAATTGTAAAGTATTAGTAGATTGTAGAATGGGGCGATGACGCACCGCGACCTGAAAAATCTATAGTGCCCCCCCCCTTACGATCGTCCAGTGTCCCGCCTAGAGCACTAGTAAGTGCATCATATTAATTTTTATTGATAAAAATAATAAACTTTGATTGCTGAACCTTTAATTTTCTAATTTTCTTAATGGACAACTTTACATAGGTAAAATTTCACTTACAGCGATTCAACAAATTCTAAAATTTGCGATTCACCAAATATTTAAAAATGATTTAATATTTGTTTTAATTATTACTTAAATTTTAAAAAGAGAAAGAAATTATTACTTCTACTTATTTAGAAGAAGAATTATAAAGTACACGTACGTATTTCGGACCTTATTTGTAATATCAAATTATAAACTTTTTACTTTCTTTTAATTTGCATTTTTTTATATATAAACTTCAATAAAACCAAAAAAAAAAAATTATGCTTGAAAGTCCAAAAGCTCGTCTGCTTTTGATATTACAAATTTTATAAGGTAACATAGGTAATCAAAATGGATGGAAGAAGTTAAAGAATATAAAGGTATGCGCATAAATTATGTGTTATGTATACCGCATCAAATTGATTTCATATGAAAATTGTAATTAATTTAATTAAATATTAAAAATGTTTTAACATAATTATATTATTAATTTTTCATTAAGCTAAACTTTGTGTAATTTATGTGCACCGAATATTGAGGTGAGGATTGGTGAATAAAGTCAAAAGATAAAAATTCTTTATTTTCAAATCAATTTACGTTTTTTATTGATCATATAAAAATTCGCTTTAAATTTAATTAGAAGAAAAATTAGTTGAAATATTTGTTTTGGCTTAGACCTCATAAAACAGGACAGAATTCATTGATATGGTCTTTTTATTAATTTTGGTTATTTGTTTTATATACAGCAGGTTTCAATTTCTTTATTACTTAAAATATATTAATATATGCATAAGTATAATCAATTAAATTCAATATACCATAGTATTTATACATTCTAAACATTGTTGTTTGCCATCTTTAAAATATCTAAACAATTTTCTTACATAAATTTCCATCTTATTTTTTCACTAGTCAAAGTAGTGTTAAGGTATTTAAAAAATTTTCAATGGTTAGATTCTTTTGTTTCAGAAATTCCGAAAAAGAAAACTTTTCTGTCTTCTGATTTCACTATTTAAGATATTTGGGAATGAAAGTGAAGCATCACAAATAACCATAATTAAAATATGTATGTATGCCTATGTGTATAAATTAATTTTAGAAGCTTAAATGTGAATTCAAGCCCTTGATAGTCTTTTTGAATTTACCCAACACGTAATTCAATTACCAATCTTTGAATGGAACTATCAACGAAACTAAAATAAAATAAAGATGTTAACTAATTTGTTTCATGTAACTATACATAATTGTAACAGTCTGGTGGATTGTTATGGAACTAAAGAAAATAAATGTTTGGATAACGCAATTTTGTTTCTAGTAGCAAGTGTATTACGAGTATTACGAATATACGGTAGGTATACAAATAAAATTGAAGAATAAAAAAATGATTGCTTATTAATATTATATAATTGCGTTATATAAAGGGCAACTTTATATAATATGTAGGTATTTATAAATAAATATGCTTTATACCATGGGAAAATAATGGTGAATTAAGATACTAATTGTATAAGCATTATGTAAACGCCTCAAAGTTTCAAATAAATAAAAAACAAGTTTAGATTAAACTAAATGAATATTAGTCCAGGTAGTATAAAAAAGTTATGGTTTTCGAATCGAATCCTAAACACCTTTCTTAGACGTATTTATATGTGAAGAAATTCGATAATTTTTACGTCTCATTTTAGAAAAAGGATCCAATATCTCTATATTACCTTATATAGTGCACATTTTAACCCCTTAATTGTCAATCAAATTTATGATCTGGAAATTTTAATAAAATGTTAAATATAAAAAAATGGCTACACGTTAAACCGTTAACTTGCCAATTTACTGTATTAAAGAATTTCTTAAAATTTCATTTTTAAAATTATTTTAAATTAAAATCAAAAATCAACCTATTTCTTTTTCAGAATTAAAATGCTTAAGAATTAAATTGTTGTTTTTAAATTCAAATAATAAAAAAAATTTATGAATTTTTAATGAAATTAGATGAATTACCATAACTAATTTAGACAAATTTTCGTTGTAGTTATTAAAATCAAATTATTTCTTTTCCTTTTGGTGCAAGTATAAGACGGTAGGTATTTGATTAACCTTTCCAACGCGTCTTCCGTTGAAGTTCAATGTTTTGCTTTATATCATATTTTTTTTATTTATTTATTTTGTGTTTTTTTTTTTTTTTGAATTTTAATCGTGTGATTTTTTACAATTTAATCTGTTAAATAAAAAAAAATTTTTTTTTTTGGGAAAACAAAAAGTTTTATTGCATGTTGTTTAATTTGACGCAAAAGTGATTTGGTTTTGTTAGAAATAAAGATCGAAAGAAATTTTAAAAGCTTTATAAAATTTTAATGGAATAAGAAATGAGTTTGATTTCAATTTCCTGTACTGTGTGTAGTTGCGACTGTAATATTCTCTTAAATAATAGTTGAACACTACAAGTTCATGTAGTCCTTGATTTTTCTTGAGCTTCTCAATTAGATTATGTACATAACATTAAAAACAAAATAATCTTCATCTCTTTAGTTATTACTGAATATTAGGATAGTTAATGAACACTGTAATAATTTTTTCTTCAATTAAAGCTGGCCACCTTTATTTTAATATTTAATAAATTATGACAAAAAAATGGAGATTTTCGGTATTTCTTCTTAAAAATATTCTTTTACATATACACTTTGTAATTTCACTTTTAAGTATCTTTGGCGATTTGACTAAATAAACAATGATAAAAGTTGATTTACTATACCTACGATAAGTACTCGTATGCATGCAAAGTCATAAATTTCGTCTTAAGTGTAAGCAAATAGGTTTTTTGTACACATATAAATAAAAATTTTTTCTAAGTTTCTGGTTTTTATAATATATGACGCCACACATCTTAAAAGCACTTCTCAAAAAAGGTTTGCCCTAGAAAAAGAAAAACAAAATTATTTTTAATAATATTTTGTTATTTTTTGTAATAAAATATTTAATTAGAAGATAAATAAGAATTATTACTTGCATTCAGTTAATTAAATATCTCGTACTAATTTCAAATAATAATTGTTTTTAATAGTTAATAAATATTTACAAAGTTTCAATGCGGTAATGCGTTAAAGGATGAATTTTTCTAAATTTAAATAAATGTGTGTACATATACATAAATTTATTATAGTTTTTGGTTTTTTCATACTTTATCCCTAGTTGGGATATAGGGGTATAGTACATGATGACATATAGAGAGCCATGTTCCAGAGTCTTGTTGTGACTGACCCCCTGACCGGGGTTTGAGCATGAGGTTCTTTGGTTTAAGGTTTGTACTGAAAAATTATCATAAAAAATAACACACGTACTAATTCTTATAGGAAAGCAAAAGAAAGAAATATATCGCTTCCGTATTATGCCTTTCGTACTTATATTTTGCTCAAGAATTTCGTAAATCATAATTATTGTTCATGTACGTTTCTCGTTCAGTAAAAAAAAGTATTCGTCCCTTACATTCGAGAAGAAGCCGTAGTAATATTGACCTTTAAAATTTTAATGACGCTACATACGTATAAATAGAGGTTTTTGATATTTCATTCTTTTAAATAATTAAAAAGAAAAATTAATAAATACTAGTTTTATAAATATGTACTGTGATTATTTTTAATACTATACATACATATACATTATGTATATAAATACATATTATAAAGCAAAAGTGAATAGCATACTTTTCGGCTCATATTTTCATATTGATTTCACATTTTCATCTTCCTTTAATTGTTTCCGTTCTATTTTTAAGAGCCTTTTTCCAATTAACTCATTATTTTAAAGAACACACAAAATAAAGCAATTATATTTAAAAATATATTGAAAAAATATTAAAAACTAGCCGGTTTAGTAAAATGTATTTGTTAGTATAATTCTAAAAAGGTGTGTTATTTTTTAATTAATGTTGATATTTGGAGTTTGCTATTAATTTGTTTACTTGTTATACATATACTGTTGCTATACTGTTATTGTTCCTGCGAAGAAAGTTCATTTGCTTAAACATAGGAGTTACTTTCAAAATACCAACAATTCCATATTTACGCCACTAATCATACAAGCAATAATTGTATGAAAACATTAATTTATTTGTTTGCCTACAAAATAGGTGTAGTTTTTATAAATAATTTGTGTATTCTTAACTTTTTTTTAATTTTATATGTCATCATCATAAAATATAATATTTTTATTGTTCTCTAATAAAAAGTATGTGCCTTTTCTGGGGGGCACGTCTTTTAAATTTGACTTGAAATAAAAACAAAATTATAAAAATTGTATTTATTAATAAAAGTGTGTGTACATATGATAAAAATAATTAATCCATTAAATATGGGAGAAAATATGAGATAATAAAGAAAAAATTGTCATACGATTTTTAAATTTAAAAAACAAATTCTTAAAAATTAAAAAGTTGGATCGAAATTCTTGAAATTTGACGTCATTAGAAAAATTCTAGGTAAATTCATTCAGAAAATCAAAAAATATTTTCAACAACTTTTGATTGACTTCAAAAAAAAAACGGAGGAAATTAGTAATGAAAAACTATTTAAAAAATAAATAAATTTTTTTTTTATTTTTATGAAAGAAACTAACGTTTTATTGTACATATTATGTACATAAATAAGCATGTATAAATCTTCAAACAAATATTTATTTTTTACATACCTCTGCAAAGTTATCATGCCTAAATAAATTTTGATTAGCTTTTCCATATAATACGCAAGTTAGAGTCCTTCTCTAACGGCTTGAGGGGATTTAATGCTACAAAAAAAAAAAAAAATAAAAAATCTAAACAAAACTAGCATATTACGAAAAATAATAAAATTTAATGCAAATTTCAATTTTTAAGGATTTATAGGGTAAGTATCACTTACATTACATCTTTAAGTTTGATTTTGAAAAACCTTTAATAACAATATGATCATAAATGTATGTAAATATCTTGTACTCTCACTGAATACAATATCATATAGGCACAAATCAATATTTTTTGTCTAATAAAAAGACAACTATAGGTATTTTATACTCGTGTTCGCTTAAAAACTTATTTAAGTCAATCACGAATAATTTCATCACATGTCCAGACCTTGACATACAATGTTAATCGAATAATATTTGAATCAAATTTAGTTGAAATTCTAAAAGAGAAAAGAACGTGCATTTCATCAACATTATCTACATGCATATCATAATATTTTAATGGACTTTTGGTCAAAAGTCCAGTGAGCAATACTGAAATTAAGGAAACAAAATTGAACAACACCAGCATTCAAGAAGATCTCAACGCAAAAGTGATTAAAAAAAAATTTAGTTTGTTTGATTATGGCATTATTGCAATAATCTCTAAATTTTTTTGTTTTTAAATCTATTTGTGCAATTAATTTTCATTTACTTCTTATTTATTCCTAAAAACAAATTACATATGTGTTTATACTCGTACATAATAGAGTTTATTCTGAGAAGTCAATCACTATCTGACTTAGTGATATTTATCGTAAAAATTTCGAAATTTTTATTATATAAATACAAATCTTTAATTTTTTACGATAAATATCACTATCATATTAAATCACTTTACAGAATAAGCTTCAATATGCAACGGTTACGAGTTAACACTCAGAAAGTGAGCCTTTGTTGTGTTTTGTAATTGAAGTATTTTAAGCTTAAATGATAACAAAAAATCAATTTTATATACGTGATTAGAAAAAAGAACAAATACTCAATATCTTTATATTTGTGTAGTAAAAATCATTACTGACCTGCATTGTAAACCATTAGTTGAGGATTTCTGAAGGTTAAAATTTACACAAGATTAAAAGCTATTTTTTGGTGGAATCAATAAAAAGCACTGTTTTCGTTTCATGGGAATCAATGGGAAAGCTGATAAATATAGGCTTGCAGATATATTATACAGATTCAGAATAATGGCATTGTACAACAAAGTTACGTCGATTTCGGTCATTTAGCACTCTATAGTCTAGAATATCGGACGTTGTTTTTTTTTAAATGGACTATTGATATTTCTTATGCGAATTCAGATAAGTATTATACTAATTTTAAAGTTAGAAAATATTTACTTGTTTTTGAATCGAACTTAGGATTTTAGAATTGAAAAATGATGAAATTAAGAATAGTTCCTAATTTTAGATGATTTTCTTTGAAAATTTCTAAGATGGGACACAATATTAATAAAAAAAATTTGGTCTAACGCATTTCAAACTTGATATTTCAAATTTGTATATAAATATTAATTTGTACTGGAATTTTCTTATTTCAGCTCATTTTAAATAAAAATTAAATATTGCTTCGTTTTGGGCTTAAATTAACCAACAATTCGATTAACTGGTCCTTTATACTCCCTATTCCCAACAACATAAGTTTATGATTCCAACTAATGACATTATCGCTGCTTTGGATGAAAAAGAGTTTTGAAATTACAAATGGATTTTGTCACTTTCAAAAGAAACCATCCTTACGATTTCCAAATTATTCAATCTTATTATTTTAAATGTGGCATTAAAACAAGTCAATTATATTAATTTAAATATTTTCAAAACTATTATTTTTCATTTATTTCAAATTTTATCACAATTATTACATAATTATTAAGTTTTTTTCATATTTTATATAAGTACTCTTTGAAATAATTCATAATTTTTACTATATTGCGGTTTAAATTCATTTTTACAATTTTACAATTTACAATACATTATTAATATTATATATACACTGGTATATATATACATATGTATGACATTAATAACATTTATTTTATGTATTTATATAAAAATTCAACAAAATATTTTATTTCCTATTTTCTTTTTTTTATATACTTAAATAACAATTCAAATATCACAGCCTTTTTTTCAATATTTTTTTTTTTTGTATCAAAACATTTTTCATAATTTCTTTTATATAACGGTATTTTTTTTTATTTTTAAATTTTAATTTAAAAAAAATATAAATTAAAAATTAAATAAAAAAAAAATTTGAAATTATTTTTATGAAGAACACACTATAACTAGAAAGTAAGCATAAATTTAACCAGCTTTGGACTGTTCATTATTAGAATATTCGTTAACTATCTCTAATTTGGTATGGGATGACACATTTTGTTGTTGTTGAGGTTGTTGTTGGTGTTGTTGGGATTGTTGTGGTAATGATTGTTGTTGTTGTTGTTGCAATTGCGATGATATTACCGTTTCACCTTCAATACTATAAATTTCTTTCTCTGATACTAATTTAATATTATTTTCTATTGGTATAACATAGATGGCTTTTTTTATAACACTTTCATAACTTGGCGGTGCAAATTCTCTATATGATGGTGCCGGAGATGGTGGACATTGTGTTGAATTATGACGATTGCGATTATATAATGAATTTTGATCATGATGTCTACCACATCGTCGATCAGAACAAGCCATTAAAAAGAAAAATGCAGCTAATGCTAAAAATGTTGATGTATACCATACAATTGTTATAATATCCATAGCTGTTTTTGAAGCTTCAGTACTTTTTTCTGTTGTGGTAGCTATAAAAAAAAATATATATATAATTAAATAAAAATAAACATAATATAGATAAAAAATATAATAAAAATCTAATATTATTGTTATTATGATAAGATTTATGTATATAGAAAAAATTTTATGTAACTAACCAACATAATAATATTATAAATAAGTATATATATCAACAATTATTTAGCATAGGTACTACAAGTGTCAACGAAAATTTTCGAATATTCAATTTACTGATTGTATGTAAAGTGGAATTGTTATTTGAAATAAAAAAAAAAGAGTAAGTAATAGATAGTTACTAATAAAAAATATTATATAGAATGCGAAATTTTATTCCGCAATTTAAAAATTCTTATTTTATTTACTCAATATATATATACACATAATTATTTTGATAGTACATTCAATTATATTGAAATACTTTTTAAGTGGACGGCTTTTGATTAAAAATAAATATTATTTCGTATAGACATTTAAGATTCATTCGAAGTTATAATTAATATTTAAAGTGGGCTCTTAAAGTTTTATTAGCTTAGTAATAAAATAATTTGTTTTATATAAGATTTTGAAAAAAAAAAATTAAAAGTGAACAAAATAATCTTTTTGTTGACATAGATTTTATTGATTCAAAATATTGACAACACGTTGCGGAGCTTAATAAACACCATATATTGTAGATATATACAATCAATCCGCATGTTAAAAATTCGCATTTTTATTTGTTTACACAATTTTCATGCAATATTTTATTAATATATATTTATTAAATGATATTAATTAAGGAAATTGTTAATTAAATTTACATTTCTTTTATCAAATACCAATTTAAAAATACACAAAACACTTCAATTCTGTACCGATAAAAACGAAAGTATTTAATAAATGAAAAAATTCAATGCAACCTGCTGTTTATTTTTAGTAGTGAAACTATAAGCGCATAGTAATCAAAATTATAACATTTCAAATTTCTATAAAAATTTCGGAGAAATTAACTATCGAAAAATTTAAAATTGAATTGTTAACAATTTGTAGAAAGTAGCAAAATAAATAGATCATTACCACCAATAGTATAAGGTTGTCACACAAGTTTTTATTTGAAATAAAAATTAAATTGTAAAAGGAGATTTTTCATTTAAAATAATAGTAATAATCCCAACTTCTGAAATGTATATTAGTAAAAATTTCAGTCGCAAAAATGTTTAGTCACTCCGTTATTATTCTCACACATAATTCTAAATGCAATTCTTAAATTCAACGATTAGAAAATTTTTGCTTGTCATTAAAGAAATTTCAAAAATTGGAAATTTTTTTTTATTGACTAATCCATCCACTTCAGCTTTAAAATTAACTCGAAATTTTTCAAGTTTAGCATCGATTAAAATTTAAGATTCAAATTATTTTTTAAAATTCTAAGATATTAATTATTTTAAATGATAAAAATCACAATATACTTACAATGATTTGATGATTCATCTAATGTTTTTGGTTCTAATTTATTATTTTTTTCTTTTCTATTCTCAACTAAAATATTGTCATCCTCTGTTAATGAAGAATCCGTAGATAAATCTATTACATCTATTGCATCTATTACTTTTAGACAGTGTACTCGTTGTATTAATGCTGTTACTAAAATTGTAAAAATTAAAAATGAAAAAAAAATACAAAAATTAATTAATAATTTATTTAAAATGAATAGTAAATTATTTTTTAAAATAAATTATTTAATTTTAAAAATATTATATAAAATTAAAAATATATATTTGAATTAAAAACAAAAATTAATTAAATAATAATTATTTATAATTACTAATTTCACATTTAGCTTCTTTAATCGCAAAAGCAAAAAATATAACTGTTTTAAAATTATTAATTATTAAAGGAAAAAGTTGAAAAATTTTTTCTACGTATACGCCTGTGCACATACGCCTGCCTGTTCAAAATTTATCTAGGTGTATATAAATAAATAGACTATAAATTAAAATAAATTAATTATGTCCTCTTTATCGTGCTCTTATCAAAATTAATGATATATATATACATATAATCATTAATTTAATATATATATATATATAAGTTTTAGTTATTATCATGATAAATTTATTACATCCGCATGATATTTATTCAAAAGAACTTGAGAACTTGAGATTTTAATTAAGGTTTTTTAATTTTTTGAAGAATTTATTAAAAAGGAAAAATGAGAAAAAAAAGTATTTTTAAATCTAAAATTAGAAAATTTACAAGAATAAAATATTTAATTTTTCAGAATAATTAAATAAAATTAAAAAATTTTAATTAAAATTTAAACTTAGTGGGAAATTAATAACATAAATACAAATACTACAAGTGCTTAGAGTTAAAGTAAAAAATGATGTGCCTTCCTAAACCAAATTTAAAAAATAAAGTGCCTATTCGCGCTATTATATACATAAATGTGTAAATGAACCTATGTGTAATATGTAGACTCAGAATATGGACTTTCAATAGAATAATTACCCGTTCAATACCCACGTTACAAAAATTAAACGCTCTACATTTTCCAATTTATTACTTAGTGCCAGTACTTTTGATGTAAAAACTTTTATAAACTCATATACCAAAATTATGAATTTTTCGCAAATGTGTGGGTGTGTCAAATAACAACTATTTCTACCTTCAAACGTTTTAATTGGTGTTAAAAAAATCCTAATTAGCATCAAGATTAAATGTAGAAATAAGAAATTTTTAAAAAAGAATTCAAATTTTTCGATCTTATTTCATTTTTATTTGTGCTATACATTTTTTTTGGAATTCAGTTTTTAGGATCCTTAAAATCAGAGAATTTTTAAAATCTTGTTTCCCATATTTACAAAAGTCCCTCATGTGCAATAGATATTGATAGCTGTATAAAAAGTATTTGGATTGTGTGTACTTCTCTACCATAATTTTCCATTTTTACTCTTAATTTCTTATGAAAAGCTGTAATTCAGAGAATTTTTTTAAAAATTTTAAATCTTGAAAAAAATATTTAGGAAAATGTATAAATACGTACCGAATTTTGTAGAAATTTAAAAATGACGTCAGTATATTTAATAATTTTCGTAAAATAAGGTGAAAGAAATGACGTGCTTTTGTTTGTTTGTGAGAAACTAATACGTTCGATAGGTAATTTTAATAAATTGTAAATTGCATAGTATTAAGTCATATATTATGACATACATACAAACATATATTATTTTCTTTTATCAAAAAATATTTCATAAAAAATTAAGTAAAATTATATTAGTCACTTTTTTAATATCCAAAATGACTAATATTAATTTTTTAAGAAATTTCATAATCATTAACACTTCTATAAAAAAAAAATTAAACAACGAAATTTTAAGTAGAGAACCTAATTTTGCTTTTAATTTCATTTCTTTAATATTATGAACATGGTTATAAATGAACGTATGTATATGTACAAACTCAGCTATTTTTGAAAGTCTTAATATTGTTTAAAATTATATACACAACTTGCAAATCTACATAAAAATGCAACATTTTAAAGAAATAAAAATGAATGAAATTGAAGGTTTTGAAAAAATCACATTTCTTTTAAGGATTTTATTTCTATTGAGATGCGCGTTTTCCTAAAGAAAGTAAAATAGAGATGGTAACTATTATTTTAGAATAAAAAATAAAGAAGAATTGGAGGTTGGAATTTGTTTTTGGTCTTTTGTCAATATTTTAGAAAATTTGCTTCGTTATTATTTTATTTTAATTCTAGGACTATTCTGTTAGTTCAAAAATTGTGAGATTCCGAACCCGAATTCACATTTTTGTTGCTTTAGCTTCGGCTTACGCTTCCATTACGAAGTTAATATATAAATTTTTTAATTGTCCCAGTTTTCGGCTGTGATCATGACTGTATAGCAATCAGAAAACTTGAATCTCAAACTCTGTATGCTTTATTATTTTAGATTGACATTTATTGTCATTTTGAAATCGTATTATTTTAATAATTTTGTATAAAATATAATTGGCAGCAAACCATAATGAATTCACGTGGTTTTAAAAAATCGGAGAAGAAAGGTTCATTAAAAATATTTTTAAAGTTTCCACCGAATCATTGTTTTTTCATTCTTACGTAGAAACTCTGAATACAAAATGTAATTTTCTTAGTAACAGGGAGAACTGACGTACAAACTGAATAAATTTAATTTTAAACATTTTGTTTTTCAATTTGTTTATTTTTCGAAAAGTGCTTAATTTATTAAAATCAAAACTTGATTTTTATTTTGTACTCAATCCAATATTACAGGTTTATCTATTTTTAAAACAATATTTTTTTTTTGATTCATAATTTTTTTGTTTATGTTTTGTAGAGTTTCTAACGCGAATCTATTTTTATCATCGCAATTAACTTGTTTTGAAAGGAATACACCAAAATCAAGTATAAAAACTGATTACACAAATTTAAACCGGCTTCTCATACTCTTACATACATATGTACATATGTGTATACATACATAGGTAAACATATTATGTCAATAATTATAACGATACGAGATCTATCACGTAAACATTTTTATCTGCAATTTATTTGTAATAAACACTTAAGCATGCACATATGCACATACACGTACATATAAATATTACAGTTGTAATTTGTAAAAATATAAATTATCTCAAAATGCTCAAATTAATCATTATTATGTTTGTGTCTGTTTTTTTTTTTTGTTATTTTTAATTAAATTTTCTTTCAATCGATTTTAAATAACGATTTCAAAATAAAAATTACAAAACTGAGGTGAAAAACTATGCTAAAAAAAACAAATTATAAAAAAAATAATGGCACATGTACATATACATACATAATAAGCATATATATGTTGTTATACTGATAATGTTTGCGATTAATTGCATAGAAAGCCGAAGTAATCTAAATCGTCTTAATGCAATTTTTCAGATTTTAATTGTGCAGTTAGAAAATATTTTCCACAATTATTATTGGAAAATGTGTTAACAACTATTTATACTGGGAAAAATCATGAATTTTCATTCTGTAATTTTTTACTTGTTGTTCTAAATGGGTAAATTTAGAAACATAGAAACAAAAAAAAATGTAGTTATAATATCAAAAATAAAAGCCTTTTGCGGAAAATATTTCTTTACAATAAGATTTAGGAAAAAATACAGTTTGTTAGTGAGAATATAGTAGACAGAAATCACTATTGTACTGAAAATTCACATAAATCGGCTTACGCTATTTTCATTTTGTAGAACATGCTATAAGTGTTTAATAAATGAAACCTACATTAGTATATGTTTGTGATCACTTATAAGTAATATTCTCTATTTTGATTTTTTTTTGTTATATGAACATATGTGCATATACTTCATAGTTACATACATAATGCACAATACATAAATGCATACATATATATAGGTTTGTATAAATATATCTGATTTATTTATACATTTAGTTAATACGAGCTTTTCTGGCATGATTACGTGCATAAACGTGATTTTAATAAAATTACTTATTGATAATATTGAATTAATTAAATATTTAGTAGTAATACATGAAGGTATATCTATATATACATTCATATACTACACGTAAACATTTTTATCCAAAAACATGCTTATTATTTTTGATCGATAGGCAATCTATTCTATATAATTAAATAAAAATTTTCATTAACCTTGATATACAAATTTTTTGTTATAATATAAATAGCACCTACATAAGTGCTATATATGTATATACAGTTTTTCTTACAATGGAACTTATTAAACTGTAATATTCCAAAATATAAATAGAAAGCTAGAAGGGGAAACCATGTGTATACCATTATCATATTTTTTGATGTTTACACAATAAGTTTTAATAATAATAAAAAAAAATTCTCAAGTTAAGTGTAAACTAAATATTATAGATTTTTTTTAATTAAATTTTTAATAAAACAGTAAATGTTCATATCGTAATTTTGATTGTGTGTTATTATATACATACTATATCTTATGTACTCTACATAAGTGCTATTCTATATTTTCACTCCAATCAAAATTAATCAAACCATAGGAAAAGAATTTGAATAAAGTTTAAAGTACCTTCGAATATTGGAAAACTTTGAGAACTTGTATAATATGCAGCTATTCTTGTTTTCAAGAAAATTTTGTTCAAAACATAAGACTTCAAATTATGTCGATGCTAACTATAATGGATTACAACAATTATATTCGTTAGACACAAACTGTGTTAATATGAAATTTTATTTTTTTTGGAAATTCTAAAATCTATTTACCTACATACTTACTATTATGTATTTTTAGAAGATTCTTGTTAATTTAATCGTAAAACAAGCGTAGAATCTTAAAAAAAAGTTTCTTAAAACTGATAAATTTCCTATACCTTAAAATTCTTTTTATTGAACTCTCAAAACTTTTAAATAATATTATTAAAAAATTCCAGGAAATTAAATTTTTTGAACAAAATTTTGATATAATTTTGATTTAATTATTAATTAACACATTTTTATTAGCGGGCACATAACATGTCCAATGATATTAGAAATCATACAACTTTGAGAATAGTTTTAGAAAAATTTTATTAAAATTTCAATTTAAATTAAAGTTATTTGACAATTTGATTACTTTTAATTAAAATTTGAATTTTGTTATATTAAAACAATTTGGTTTTTAAATTAAAAATCAGTATTTAATTTTAAAAGAAAATATATAGAGCATTCTATAGCTTAAATTATAACATTACATTACAAAAATTTTTAATTAAAATGCTTTGTCGTAAGCAACGATTTCCGAACTTGCTTCTTTTGTACTATCAAGATCTATCAAACATGCTATATTTAAAGATTTTGTAGTTTTGATTTATAAAAAATTTTTTATTAAGATTAGATTATTTCGAAGTTGGAACTGAATTTTAGGAAATCTCCTTTCATATTCTCCAAATTTATCAAAATAACAATAGGTAATAATTTTTGAACTTGCTTTTAATAAACGAGGTGGTACCTTAGAAATAATAAGCTGTACCTTCGTGTACTTAATTACATTATCATTTATAACAAATAGTTTAACCCCTTTTACTCCATTTTATTTCTCTTTCACATGCGTTGCCGTTGTTTATATAATACATGACACACGCATGTACACACATGACACAGTAATTCATACAAGAATATTATTAATTAAGAAAAAAGATTTTTAAAAGAATTTTAAGGCCAAAATTAATTAAAGTAAATATTAATTTTGAAAAAATCTAAATATAACTTGTTTTATTCAAATTAAAATATAAATTTTTAATTGAGATTAAAATTTATATTACAATGAAATCTAGTTGAATTCAAAAAAGAAATAAAATAAGAAAAATTCTTCTTTACTTTTTTTATTTTATTTAATTAGACATTATAAATTAAAAGAATTAATATTAATTAAACAATATTATGATAAAATATGACATCTTAAATAAAATAAAAAAAAAAGATTTTATTATTTTATTTTTTTTTCCCACTTTAGTTTTGTCTTTATTTTTTTATCACATTTGAATCTTTTAATTATCACAATAATTCTTTGGAAAATTTCAGTGTCGATTTATTTTGAATGGCGTAGCTTTGTTTTATGTTTTTCTTGCTCCCCATTACACAAATATATGTATGCGGTATTTTATTTAAGAAGAGGCTTTAGAATTTTTTTTCTAAAAATAGTACATTTATATATTATAAATAATTAAACATAATATTATAATTATTAATTTTTGAAATTATCATGTACTTTTATATATTATGGCCATAATTTAATATTATCTGAACTTGAGCATATAGCCATGTATGTGTTTGCTAAATCAATATTTATACACGTGTAAATTAATTTATTTGAATAACCAATAACTTCTTGAAAATCAAATTTTCATTAAAATTACTTTCGTGCCTTAGTTGATTAGATTAATATTCTTGTAGACAGAAAAGAGCTTCGTCAAGCGCTTCGAAACTCAGTATATATTTATTTATGTACGTACATGATGCATAATTTTATTCCAAATAATACTACTCTTTCTTTTAACACATATTGTGCCAGAATAAGTGCTCTATTTCAGAACATTCCATTTTTCTTCCCATACACATAACATTTATTTATTTATTTACTTATACAATTTACCATTTTATGTGTTGTAATACAAAATATCCAAAAAAACTACTACATTTCAATACAGATGGCATCACAATAAAATTAATTTAAATGCGAATATTATTGCGTTATGCACGATTTTAAAAAAAATAAATAAAACTAAATCGTAGTTTTATATTACATACGTGTGTATGTACTTATGTATAGTAAATAATTTTCCAGAGAGTTTATTAAAAATATATATACGCAAGGTACCTATTTATTAACACATTTTTATTATTGATTAACGCTGTCTTATTTTATTGTTATCAGAATTGAATATTTTTAAAAATTAATAAACAAAAAATAAATCTAAGGTATTTGTTATTTTTCCGAATTTTTTTCTTGTTAATTCTAATATCAATGAACAATAATTAAATCAAAAATATAATAGTAAAAACTTAGTAATTTAATCAAAATTTTTATTGCATGCAACATATATAGAATAAAAATTAATATTTTAATTATTAAAAATGAAATCACCGAAATTTTTCCACTTAATATTTTGCAGTTTATAAATATAAAATTTGAAGTGGAATTTATTGTTTTATTGTACTCATAATTAATCATGCATTTACATTAAATAGAAATCTAAAAATTCATTCACTGTATTCGAAAGTAATAAAATTTTAGGATTTTAGGTCTGAAAAATTGGCTAATCAGTTTTTCTTCCCTTCTTCGTAATTTAATATTAAAACAAAAATAACTAGAACAATTAGAAAAAAAAAAACTTTTTTGTGTATTGAAAATGAATTTTTTGCAAAAATAATTTAAGTAATTAAAAATGCAACATAAGCACATTAAAATTATGAAAAATGCACATGAACTATAATACGAGTAATGAAGACCAAATTCAAAATTATTTTCATATTTTTATAAAATAAAAGAACTTGAATTTACTTTTCTAAATCAAATAAATAATAATTTTTTACAAAATGATCTTGAATAAAATCGTTATTCACGCGCATAATATTTTATATATATACGGGGAATTTAATTCACCTAATATTTCGGAGTGATTCATGCGAGACCGGAGCTTATTAATATTTTAAAAATTGAATGATTTATTTTCTGCAATACAAATTTTCAAATGAAAAACAAAAAGAATCACTAGAAAATCTATAAAAGAATAATTTCTTAATAAAATTTGTTAAAGTCCCACTTTATGAATCACAATAGAGTAAAACATTGTAAAAAATTAATTCCTATTCTTAAAATTTATTATAATATATTGTAATACTTACCAATTAATGAAATAATTAAAAATTTCCATTTAAAATCCATTTTAATTGGTTAGATTTTTTGACTGTTTCAATTTTGATTAATAATTTTTCTTTTTTTTTGGAAAAATTTGAAATTTTGGATATGGTTGCTTTGAAAAACACAATTTTCTTTTTTTCAAATTAAATTTGAAAAATTCAATTTCGAATTATAAACAACTACAACACTTTGAAATTGTAGAGCTATTCAGAAATTTAAATAATTTTTTATTACATAAAAATTTTTAAATTTTTTATTATTCACATTTGAATTTCACTTTAAAATTTTTTTATTAAGTATAACAATTTACGAAATTTTTATGTTTTAGCAATTTCAATTTCTTATATTTTTGGTAAATTTTAAATTTGCAAGTTTGATTAGTTTTAATTTATGATTAAATATTTGTAATTATTTTTTAAGCATTTAATGTAACAAAAATCTACATTATATGTGAATGTATGAATATGTTTACGTTGCATGAATGTTGCCAAGTGTACGTAATTAATGTTGAACGCCAGGGCAAATTTAATTTTATCGAAAAATAGAAAATTTATCGATTCGATATTTTTCTTATTCATAGATCGATTAACTATAGTTTAGTTAATCTTATTTAATTAGTAAGAAACACTTTGAATTATTTAAAAAGCAAATATTTAATTTATTTTTTTTTTAATTTTTATCTTTAATTAGTATTTTGATTTTATATAATTTATTTTTAGATTTTCTTTATTTTTTCGATATGTGATTACGACGACCGATTTCTGAATTTTCTTTTTTTCTTCTTCTTCTTCTTCTTGTTTTACTTTTTTATTTCTTCTCTTTTAATGAATAAAATTTAATTCATGTTAAATTTAACTCTGTCGCAAAATCACTGAAATAATACCGGTAAATAAGTTTGCTTTTTATACGGAAAAATTTTTATGATACAAAAAACAATAACAAAAAATAAGAAAAAAAAAAAAAGTAATTATAATCAACATAAGACACAAAATAAAATAACAAAAAAAAAAAATTGAAAATTTCGTTAGACAACAGGTGATATAAAAAAATACTGGTACATTGTACCGGTAAGAAAGAAACACATGAGTAGGCACACACAAAAATTTAAATTGTTGTTGTATTTTTGTTTTTTAATTTTATTTGTAACATGCTTTTTTTTTCAAGTTTTGTGGCCATGTGAGCGTAATTTTAATGTGATATTCTAAATTAGTTTGTTCGTTTATAATAATGCTAACCAAAAATTTTTACTTATTAATATTTAAGTCAGCTTAGAAGACTATACTACCTTAAAAAAATATTACTGTTCTACTGCCACTCTCTCGAATTTATCACTGCTTGATTAGCCCTAAAAGTTTTATAGTTTTATTTTTTCGACACTTTTTAGGGAAATTCAGAAACGCGGTATCGCATCAGTTTAATATTCTAAAATGTTCCTGACATCATATCAAATTCAAGTTTTTTTTCCTGCATAATAACCGTTGGGCTCTTTATTATACTGTTTTTGCAGAAAAAAGGTAAGCTAAATAAATTTTTAAATAATATTTACAACTTATATGTTTTATAAATTTATTTATACACTGTTGTCCACCTGAATACTTTTATGACTCAATACGAAGTTTCTTACAATAAGAAAATAAAATTTTATTGCGTTGCCAATGTCGCATCGATGCAGTAAATTTGAGGTTTTATTAGTTTTCGCTCTTATTATATTTGTCCTCTTTAAAAAAAAAAGTATGTTATTGTTAAAGACTATATCAATTAAAAGATTTACTTAATAGATTTTTTATATCTCATACAACAGTGTAACCGAACAGTGAAAGTCGATAAAATAAATAAATGTCACTGTGAGAGAAATCTATGATACCACTATCGAGTTATTTCCGCATAATTGAAACCTAATGTTTTTAAAATAATTATTATTCCAAAATTTATACAAAATTTTATTGTAATTAAATAATTAATTCAATTGATAATTTTCATTATTTTGACCTAGAACTATGTAAATATGAAAGTTTCACACTTGAATTATTTAAGAAAAGTGTGCATGTACTTGAAAAATTATGAGTTTAATCTGCCATATTTTCAAACAGAAAATTTTTTAACCATTTTTTTTTAAAATTAATTCATATTAATTAAAGATAATTAATATTATTTTTATGAGTGTATCAAAATATTTTTATAAGTAGAAATTTTTTTTTTTTAAGTATCCTCGAGTACAACTGACGGACTATTCAAATTCCTTTAGTTTTTATCTTTGTTTTTATTTTCGGAAACTACAATTATTTTGTATATATATGAACATACATATATACATACATATATATATATATATATATATAAACATATAACATAACATTATGTTGAAACAAACCTTAGAAAATCAGCTTATCAGCTTATCACTAAATAGTATTCCTATTATAATAATGTTGTACATTATATGCCGGTATCGGATACATACATGTAAACACAATTCGGCCAAAATACACATATGGTCCTTTAATTATGACTAGAAATTTCTATAAAAATATAATGTATACATATCCACATACATATCCTATACATAACACATTGCCATTGTTTATTTTATATTTAATTTTATTTTTAGTCATTGAACTGTTGGAAATCGTTTGTTTAAAAATCATATAGAAAAATAATGATTGTCTGATTAATCATAACTACTCAATAACCGTAAATACTTAAATATACCTACGTAATCTAGTAGTACTCAACAATAATAATAATATATATGTACATATATTGTATACGCTATAATTATATAATATTTGTTATGATTGCATATCAAATACTAAACTTTGGTTTTTCAGTTTTTCCATATTTTGAATATGGAAACAAATAAAAATTATATTATTGGTTTTTGATTTAATATGCAAGATTAAATAAACATAAGTTATTAATTATACAAATCAAATGATTTGGGTGTGATTTTAAGTGAAATCGACAACAATTTTTGCTTTATTTTTGGGTCTTTTGAAGTGCCTTCTTATTTCTTAAGTATAATATTGTTAAAATTTTTGTTTTGAACTGTTTAGATCAGGCATGTTTAATCTTTACAGAATGATTTAAAAATTATAAAAAGTAGCGGGACGAAAAGAGACTAAAATGAAAAGGGAAAAATTTCGCGGACCAGAGAACTTCAGGAAATGTGTACCTGTATTGTGTACATCTTAGAAGAAGAGGTTTATATCATATAGGGAAAATTTTTAAATCGTCTAATATACTTACTATTGATGCTAATTAGGACACTATTGAAGAGTAGTTCAGAAGAAACATGAATATGATTCATGAAGTGGTTAGAAATTATTGTGGTCTTTTAAAATTTGATTTGACATTTTGTGATTATTGAACTATTTTTAAAAGCCCCTTCAAAAATAAAAGCCGTTTTAAAATTTTATTCCCAATTTAGATTTGTTTACTTATTTAAAAATCAAGAATATCAGTTTTTTAGTCTTATCTGGTCAGATTTAATGAGTTTTTAAAAAAAAATTTCATTAATTGCTTAAAAGCATGGATCGGTTTTAATTTGCGGGCCGTTGTTTTCACGGTCCTGATTTTAATTATTTTTGTACTTAGATACATTTTTACTATAAATGAACCCTAATACTTATTCAAGTAGAAATACTTCAAAAAATTATAGTTTCCTAGATGACTTTTAAGTTTTTGATAGAAGATTCAAATACATAGTTTTATCCTTTATGTGATGTTAGATTAATTTAAAATAAACAATTTATCCATATAGTAACATTACAAAAAACTGCTATGCATCTTCACTTACGTTTAGTTCAAGCTGTGGGTAATAAATTTTGGGATTCCGTTTTCGGTTCTGACTATAGGAATTTATTTTTTAAATTTTAAATTCGACCTAAATATTCGAGTTCGGCAGTTAAAGTAAAACTCTTAAATATAAAGTTCAAATATTCGACTCTGCCAACTCTATTCATTACCTAACCTTGTGATTTAAATTTAGGTCATCTTTGTGGTGGGTATTTAAATTCATTTTCAATTTAATATTATACTTGTTGTTTTTATTGCCATAAAATTCAAGGTGCATGTTTTTGTATGAAAAAGCGCTTCAAAAGGAAAAATATGTATATAGTCTTAATTTTTCTCTCTGCAGTCTCATCTGGGAGCAGTTGTAGATTTTAAGGTAAGAAAGAATAAAAGGAAATTATCAAATCAAAGCTTAAGATAAATGTCTGTAGGGGGAACCACCGATTATTTTAATTTTATTTTAATTCCTTTTTTTGTCATTGAATTTTAATGTTACAAATTTATTTTTAATTCTATTGTTAAGATGTTGCTTTTCCAGCCACGTTTTCTCCATATTATGCCTAGTTGCGTATATTTAATTAATTTTATGACATCTATACGGTAATTAAAATGGGGACTAAATTGATTGAGTCAATGTTGATAAAAGGTCGTATAAAAATTTCATGTTCTTACCAATTTACGCTCTAATTTTTCTCACATATTTAAATTTTCAGATATTTTTTTAAAGTTTCACTCCCACACTCAAAACGTGGTAGTTCTTAGTCATTCAAAATGATTATTTCTATATATAAGTAAATCTCACAAAGAAAATATTTAAATGTGTGGCTGTAAATTGCATATTCTAATAAGATTACATTATGTAAATACAGATATAATAAAAAAATAACGTTTTTCTTTTATCTTAAATGTTATCTTATCGATCGCTATACGTAAATCTTTTATCTACAATACTATATAATTAACAGCGCAGAGTATAACAAGTGCGAAGTTATTCTAAGCCCAATCATAAATCTTTCAGTTTTATCATATTTTCGAATCTTTCAAAATTTTTAAAATATAGAAGAAAAACATTTAAATAAATGATAAATTAGTAGTTAAAATTAATGCAAAACACATTTATTATGGAAAGATCATCCCATCATATATTTTAGATTGTAAAAGTAGTTGCAGACTTGAAATGAGTTACGAATAATTTAATAGTATAGCTCTATTATAACCACTTAATGTAAAAATAAAAAATTTGGCATTTTTAGACAACATCTGAACAAGCAAATTATTCTTCAATTTTGTTTTGTATTTTTTATCCATCCATTGTAATTTTTTATTTAACAGTATATGGCAAATTGGGTTAAG